TTTTATTCCATAGTGCAGATGATCGGCCGATCCAGAAATTCGCCATCTTTTGTCTCTGTGGTGGCAGGAGCCCTACACTCTAGCTGTTAGTGTATTTTGGTGATGAGATTTTTCCCGTGTGAAATCGTGAAGCAGGATTTTGTTGGTGCAATTGTGTCCAGACGCCGTCACTCCTAAGACAAGAGTTAAAGGCCGATCAATCTTTTTGCAAAATTCCTTTGTGTGTGATTCTCAGAGATTCATTTTTCTTCCCAGACTGCAGGGGTGAGAGCGTATGGAACCCGCACACTCAAGATGACGTCGAAATGTTCCTGAGACTATACCGTAACTACTGTAGGTGTGATCCCATTGTTCCCGAATAGAAAGGAATATTTAAGGTAAGTCATGTTTGAGAGTGAGGAGCGTGGTGTTGGTACTGCCGGCAACCCTCTTGCATCACTCATGACTCGTCAATGCTCACCGTGACTTACAATTATATTAGTGTATTGACCAGCCACTAACAGCTTGATATGTGCTTGGCTCTGAATTCACAAAAGGTTCATGCCATGAATATTACTTGTTGGTCGAAGATGTGAAAGGCTACCAGACTGGTTAACTAAAGCATAATAACGACATTCAACTTTGTATGCCAAAATAACACTACGACTAACTTGATACGCTAAATTTTGTTCAGTAAGAACATAAGAATGTTGGAAACTGCAGCGGGCCTATTGGCCCATACTAGGCAGTCCCATTTACACCCAACCTCGATTGCTCATATATCCATCCAACCTATGTCTGAAGTTATCCAGCGTATTCGAGTTAAGGATGATATTTGGTAACATGTTCCACTAATCCACTACTCTATTTCCAAACCAATAATTACCTATTTCGCGCCTAAATCTAAATTTGTCTAATTTAAAATCATTGTTACGAGTTCGCTCCTGGTTGGATAGTTTGAGTACCGTTGTAATGTCCCCTTTGTTCAGCCCTGATTTCCATTTATACACCTCGATCGTATCGTCCCTCACTCTACGTCTCTCGAGGGACTGCAAATTAAGAAGCTTTAACCTGTCTCTGTACTCAAGGTTCCTAATACTCGGGATTAGTCTTGTCATTCTCCTCTGAATTCTTTCCAAGGATTCTATATCCATTATGTAATACGGTGACCAGAATTGAACTGCGTAATCCAAGTGGGGTCTCACAAGCGCAAGATATAGTTTTAAGATGACCTCGCTAGTCTTGTAACTAACACTCCTTTGGATGAACCCAAGTACTCTATTCGCCTTGTTTAGAGCAAATACACATCGCTTACTTGGCTTAAAATTTCTACTTATCATTACTCCTAAATCTTTCTCGCAGTCGGATTTCTCATTGTCATCGTTGTTCACCTGGTATCTGGTTTCCCTGTTTACATATCCTATACTGAGTACTTTACATTCGTCCACATTGAATCTCATCTACCATTTTTCAGACCATTCGAAAAATTTGTTTAGATCTTCCTGTAGTTTTGCGGAGTCATCGTCAGATTTAATTACACGCCCTATTTTAGTGTCATCAGCAAATTTACTTATGTTGCTGTCTACGCCGATATCTCTGTACGTATATAGTTAAGGTTAGGTTAGGTGTAGGCATTATTTTAGTCCTATTTCTGGATGTCATTCATATTCATTTACCCATTGAAGGCATTTTATCCTTGCCTGCATGGAGTCATTCAGCACGCACGTACGACGGAAGAGTACAGCAGACCGCGCGTGGTGATAGCTTAAAGCCAATTTTGGGGCACTTAAGCATTGATATTCTCAGCTCGAATATTTTTGTCACAATTATTCAGAACACTCTTTTTTATTATAATAGTTTTTATATTTACAAACTAATTAACGCCATTTAAAATCAGTTTGTTAGTCTTGGGGATAAGTTACTAAACACTATTTACGTTCCGTTTTCCCTATCATACGTTCTATACCAACCTCCTTCCTATTTAAAACCCATTCCATCGTCAACCTGACCCACGACATTCAACTCCGTTCCGTCATCCACATAATCATCCTCACTCAGTGTACTTACTCATTCCATCATGTGGCTCACTACAGCTCACTATTATCTTAAGCACTCATATCCCATGTTCATTTACAAAGCTTAACATATTACAGAACACACATTACTCTGCCGACCAACAATAGAAATATTATCTGTAAATTAACCTCTATTTTTCTAGCTTCTAACCTAACCTTACCCAACCCTTTGTTATAAATTTTGTGCCAAAGTATATTGCCACCACCTTTGCATCACCATTGTTGTCACCGTGGGCAGTCTGTCGAGTTTTTGTGTATAGCTCAACATTCTCAAGTAGCCTTAACTAGACGTGCTTTGGTGTCCCTCTCGAGATGCTCTTCGTTATTTTGTGTTATAACTTAGCCCTTGTACCAGGCTGTCATCTCATTTCTTATTTCTTCTTTTTTCATCCTATAATTCTTGTGTTTTTTAACAAAAATATATTGAATTTGGTATTTTTATTCTCATACTTAATGTACAGTATATTGATGACATGTATTTGTTAATGTGCAGTAAACACTTCGTAAACAGTCTCCATTAACCCCGACACTACGGGGACGCCACTTCTAATAATTGATTTGACTATCATCATACGATTTTATTTCCGCTCAGTGGCGACATCGTACACAGCGCAGTAACATCGTACATTATAACATCAGCACTTGCCAACCAATGATTCTAAGGTGTTTTCCAACATGCAGAAAATGTGCCATCGCTGTGGACAGGATTCGAACCTGTGCGGGCAGGGCCCAATGGATTTCGAGTCCATCTCCTTAACCACTCGGACACCACAGCTACAAATAGTAAGTGTTTGCAGCTTAGTTTGTTATTTTCTTATCAAGCGATTCTTAATTAATATAATTATATGATTATCAAACTATTGATTGTAATAAATAAGAATAAGTTTTTAGCACTAAACGTTTTTACTCCTGTTACAAATAATAAAGTATTATAAACAGAGATCACAGTACATTGCTCCCTCAAAGTTATAAACACGGAGTTTTGGATGTCAGGAGAGAATTTGAATTTAATAATGATTTAGAAGGAATTTTATAAGAAGAGATAACAACGGTCTTTCACGGAAGATGAAGGTTTCCCGTGTAACGTTCACAACTGTTTTCTCTACCGAATGCCTAAAATTTATTGTTCAATTACATAGAAGAAAAAATAGGATGACAATGGCAGCGTGGCATTAAGAAAGTAGCTATTGGAGGCAAGTGTGAGGGGGGGGGGGTGTGGATATAGCGGGTGGGTTGCCGCAGCTGTGGGGCGCCGTGTCCTCCCTGACTCAACTTACTGGGGTCACCGCTGGCTAGGCTGCTGCTACGTGCACATTGCTGTTTGGATTGCACAACCTATCTCCTTATAGCAGCAGGTTGTTTATCAATTCTAAGCTTTGTAAACCATAATATTTTATAAAAAAAAACGTTAGTATCAATACCAAGGGAGAAGTACACAGAATTAGCGCCTTAGCAATCATTGTGAAACATTCGATTTCGGAAGTGTGTTATCCCAGCCCGCGGCAAGTGGAGTGAAATGTATTCACATAGCGGATGGCGGCACTGTATACCACCCAGGCTTATGCAGCGCTTTTGACAACCTCCTTACGAATTCGAATGGCACACGCATTTTGATGAGCTGGATAGGTTGGGGGTGGTACCCATCTCTGATTACTTTAATTGGTTTATATTCTTAGGGTATGAGTGAAGCTTTCAGGAGGTCACCGATTACTCCATTTGTGTTTATATATAGTTTCTGGTCGTCAAATTGATTTAGAGAGGCTAATGATTGCGCTGGGTACAGAGTAACATTGTCTATTTACATAGTGAATGTTCAAACGGAGTTGCATTTTTAGTACTACAGGGCTTTTAGCGTCAATGATAATGGGTTACTTGTGTTTTAACTGTTGGTTTGATTAAGAATTTAAAATTCTACTTCGTATCCATATGAGGTTGACTTGTTAGGGAACTTTGGTGTTTGTTTGTTTTTTAGTCGACGTTATATTAAATAACATTTACCCTGACGTTTTGGATTTTCCGATTGATGTTGCTTTTATTCTGCTAAGCAAAGGCTAAAGACAGCTTCTCCTATTTTTCGTGGGTTTTAGTTTAATATTCGTTGGGATTGTATTGGATTTTGACTTTGATTCTAATTCAATGGGAGGCCCTGACTAACTTTATTAGTGACTAAAAGTATTTTTTTAAATAAAGGATTTATTATATTGTTCTTTACTATATTTTATTTAAAACAAAAGTCTCGTCTTCTGGTATATTGACTTTAATCTCTCAGTGAAGATCTTATAAGGAAGCCTGTAAGAAAAAAAATACCATGTGAAAGAAATACTGGAGCACATAAACAGATTATGAAGCCTAAATGTGGCCAATTAGAAAATTAGATTAGTGTGCTGTCAGGTTGTTGATATATTAACAAGCGTGTTATCTGGTGGATGTTATATTAAAGGAGTGTGTGGTTAAGTGGCTATTATATTAAACGAGTGTGTTGTTCGGTGGTTGTAATATTAAAAGTGTGTTGTTAGGTGGTTGTTATATTAAACGATTGTTATCAAGTAGTTCCATTTAACGTAATAATAATAATAATAATAATAATAATAATAATAATAATAATAAACGGTTTATTAATAGAGTTGCAGCTGGTGGCTGAAAATATACGTACAGACTTACATTTGATTTAGACATAATGATATAATATGCATTGAATACATTTACAGGGCTGTACAGTACATAAATCAGGAGTTGTTTATTATTTTAACAATAGATGGGATGGTGCTGTTCTTATATCTATCGGTGCGGGCTCTTATGGGTTGAATTTTGTTACAGTGGCGGACTGCGCGAGGTGGGTGGGGGGCTGCCGGTGGCAGGAGGTGGCGATGAGGAGGGGCATCACGTGCGCGCGCGAGTGTGCGTGTGTGTGTGTGTGTATGTATCAGTGGGACAGGTGTTTGAAGTGCTTGAATGCAGTGTCGGAAAAGCTGATATCGTAATATTATTGCATCAAAGTACAATGAACCCGCCTCTCAGCAGTCAAGCACACTTACGCGTCACCTTTGACAACTCAAAAATAGAGGGATCATAATTATGGGAGTGCTACTTATACAATAGTAGTTATTGAACCAGGGCGACACGACGCCAGCACTCTCAGTATGCCACCTGTCAAATTTATAGACATAACAGACGGCTTGTGTCACGGCGCTACCTAGTGCCCGATTAGCAAACTAAAATAGTTGCCAAATATCTCTTGTGATATCACGCTCAATTCTGGGGAGTGTTACTTCTTAATAACTATATCTTGGAGGATTCCCTGGTAAATTGTAAACAAAATCATACGCTACTATCCAAATTGGACGAGTTTCCTGCCAAAATGGACGAATTTCCTGATCCAGAAGAAGAATATGAAATGTTACACGCTGACGAGCTGGAGGTGTTGAGGGAAATGGATGGTAAGGTTTACAAGACTAGGCCTAATACTGAATTGATGTCACTGCCTTTTTGCATACAGGTACAGGAACCTAATTTATCCATGGCCAAACAGCTTGCTTTTTTGCATAATTGCCAACATTTAGTGTTATTAAGCAAAAAGGCCAACTTTTTGATCTTTTTGTAAAAGGGCTAATTTCGCAAAAAATGCTCTACCAGGTTACATATACACGGCAAAGTCTTTGTTTTGCTGTGAAATTCTTTTAAAAGCCAGAGGTATCAATAAGCCAATGCATTATAACTTACGTAAATTAACCATAATATATTCTGAGACTGATAGGCTTGGTTGTTTCATAGTTGGTCCTCAGTAAGATATACAGTATGCTGCTTATAAAGTGCGTATGGGTATTTGATATTTTGCCGTAACCGGTTAAGTTCCTACTAACGCTATTTTTCCGTGAGTGCACTCTGATTGGCGAAGTACTTTCTGTTTAATATGACGGGGGTCCACTCCCTGCCTAGGAAGTTAGGTAAGGTTAGGTGGGTTTCTTTGGTTGGTTAGGTCAGGTTCTAGTAAATGTTGCCCTTTTTTATAATGATAACATCTGTGTAAAAATAAAAAAAATCGAACAACTCCTGGTTAGGTATGTTTATAAATAACAATAATAATGGTTGCCCCTTGAAGACGAGGATGACTGACCCAAGGGCCACCTAGACATGAATTTGTTTAAGGTGTAGAAGCTGTTGCCAACACAACGACCACACCCCAAGTTAACGAACTGCAGAACCCAGTGTTAAGGAATAGTCCGAAAAGACCGGACAACTCGCCAACTTCACTGGCTAACTATTACCCTGGAATATGATCTGCAAATCGATTAACATTCAGGTCCCCAATTACTGCTGGGTAGACAAAGGCAAATGGTGTAAAGAAACTTCCCCATAGTTTCGCCCTGCCTGGCGACCTGTGGTGTTGTGGTCAGCGTGCTCACCCTGTAAGCTAGCGGACTCGGGTTCGATCCTTCATTTTTTTACGGTTATAATCTTATTTATGAACGTGTTCGTGTGGAAATGCTTTTCACAGCAATACTGTACTGTGAAATTGAACTGGGTTTGTCTTCAAAGACTACAATCATTCACTGCTTCCTCAACGACGTGGCTCGCCGCTCCCCCCGTCTCAATAACAGTAAGTTCGCTCACGGCAGGTGTTAAATTATGCTTGATTAGGTTAGGTTTAGGCTAAGTTAGGTTAGGGTTAACTTGAACATTTAAAAAAACCACTTTTTAACACATTTGCCATAACTACGACAGTGTCCGCTATAAAGCAGTGAAATTATGGTTTTTGTAAATTTGTTTTCTTTGAAAATTCAGGGGCTGTGAAATTATAAATAATTCACAAAAACTGCACCAAAACTAACCATGCTATGATTTTTTTCCTTGAGAAGAGAATTTTGTTACTGCAAGTATAATATGAATTTGGGTAATGCTGTACCACGAATTTTGCACATAAACCACCTATTTTAGACTACAGGTACTCCTCGACTTATGACCTACTCGACTTACGACCACCCGGACATGCGACGGCCGCAGTCTTACCAAAAGATTTTCAAATTACGTATTTTCGAGTCCCTTATGTTAGCGATTGCGCTGTGTACTGACAAAATTTTCGTTTGTAATTCCCTTTAAAATGGCTGGCAAGCTGAAAAGTGAGAGTTTTGTGGTGCTGAGAAGAAAAAGAGACCCATTTTAGATTTTCTTTATTATTTTCGCATTTTCGACCAATTCTACTTACGACCTGGATTTGGGTCCCTAACCCCGTCGAAAGTCGGGGACTGCTTGTAATTGTGTACATATTAACTACAACTTCTCTCTTATCAGTGAAAATGCTGTAAATTACTGTAGTTGCAAGAATTGCAGTTTTTTTTTTTCATCCTAGTCATTAATTTGTAGGTGATGATCCAGATGAGTAGAACATATATATACTTTTTTACCCTCATGATGGTGACAGAAAGTGCACGAATAATAAGATTTGGGTGATAAATTTTTTTGTTAGTGGATACAGGTACACCAGTTGTATGCCAAAAATCACACTGGACGTTGGTAAGGCAGTCGGAATGATGGACCGAGTTGTTAATGATTAGTTTATAGGTAAGGTTTGATTAAGTTAGATTACATGTAGATTAGTCAGAAAGAAGGTCATCTTAGTAACTATCATTGGTAATTCTGGAGCAGATGGCAGTAATACTGGAGGTGTTGGCTAATACCAGAAAGAGTTGTTTAATTTTGTTAATTTTTTCTACAGATGTTCTTATCATATTAAGTATTTAAAATTTTAATTTTAATTATTCAAGTACAGGTATGTAAATACAGTAATATCACCGTTAGGCAGCGTCCCTCAAACCTGGAACTATCAGATAGCCGGTATTGAAAGTTCCGAGAGGGGCATTTTCTGGAAAATTTCTAGAAAGCTTTCCCAGTACCCAGAAAATTCTGGAGATTGGAGAGTTTTTTCTGGGTTTGAGAGATGAAAATCAGGCGCATTTTTCGGAAATTCTGAGAAATTTTTTCCTATACCTGTAAAATTCTGGGGATGAGGATAATATTTTTCCGGGTTCAAAAGATGATGTACTGTACATTTACACCATGGACTGGTACCGTATTGTTATTAATTCTATGACTGATACCCAATGAAGTCTTCATATATCACTCATAGATAAGATCATGAACACGTACAGTGGTCCCTCGGTTAACGAGATTTCGGTTAACGAGTTACCTTCCATGAGATTCTTAACTTTGGTTAACGAGCAATCCCTCGATTAACGAGTTTCTTACGAGCCGACCTTAACATGTTTTCGCTTGCATTTGGCGGTCCACCAGCTGTAGTATTAGACCGCCAATACAGTAATCGGTTCTAGGGCTTATATTCCTTACCATTTTAGTAAATATCAAAAAGTTTACAGTATTCAATAATTTTAAAAGTTTAATATTAAATGTTTTAGTAATTTTAAAAATTATTGAACATAATTGAAGGTAGAGAAACTAGTTTCTGGCACGCCATCCAGCCTTGCAACATACCAAACAGGCGTTAGTCTCTCTCTCTCTCTCTTCAGTGGAGGTAACATCTTGCTTGAGACACTCTTCAACTAAACGCTTTTTTTTCTGTTTGCAAGCAAATTATTGGTCATTTTGAAATTTATTTTACATATTGACAATATATAATGCAGTGCAGTGTTGATTTAAAGAAAATAATCTTGAATTACACCAAAAGAACTAAAATTTTATGGGTGAAATGGCACCATGGGGTGACTTCTCTTCCACCCCAATGCCTTCTCTACTCCCTTCTCCACCCCCATTCTAATTCCCATCATCATCATCATCCAGGAGCCTTCTACATACTCACCTCAAAGTAAGTGTACTTTTCTACCCTTTTTGTTGAATTTAGGCAATTTTCGGTGAGCTGGAACCAGTTACCCAAAAACCCATTGAAACAATGGTTTCAGTTAACGAGTTTTTCGGTTAACGAGCAACCTTCTAGAACGGATTGTGCTCATTAACCGAGGGACCACTGTACATCTCTTTTTCTTTTACTTGTATCCTCATCTCCACTAATCGGCTTGTTAGCCACTCGGGTGGTTGGTCACGTCTCTGTTACACACACACTGTTGGCAAATACTGTACTGGCTCCAGAATGTATGTGCCTGCGCCATTGTTGGTAAAGTCTGGTCATGAATCAGCTCACACTCATTGCTATCACAACACTGGTAAATTGTTCCAAGAGTTTACCGTTCTCAGTCTAAAAAAGTTTCCCCTGACAATTTTCTGAACTTGTGACTTCTTCAAATTTGAGCTGTGACCTCTAGTGAGGTGCACATCCACCAACTCCCAGTATAAACACCGAATTGTGTAATGCCCTTCGAGATGTTTAGACTTCAATTAAGTCACCCCTTGCCCGCCTATAGCAAAAGATAGGCAATTGCAGGCATTCTAATCTCTCTGGATAATTGCGGTGTTGTAGTGCAGGCACCAGTCTGGTGGTCCTCCATGGGACATTTTCAATCAACTGACACTTTCTAGCATATCTTGGGGACCAGACATGGTGACAGTACGCCAAACAGGAAGCCCCTTACTCTTGAAGAGCATTAAAAGGGATGAACTGTCTAGATATCTGAACCTTTTTAGAAGACCTACTAGATTAGTTCCTTGATTCACTTTTATAAATTTGGGTTTACCTATTGCTATAAAGTTCATCATGGCATTAAATATTTCCAGTTCAACTCGGGTTGATAGATTACTATAGAATGGACTAAAATGTACAGAGGCAATCAAAGAGTGTAGTACCCATAGATGCATTGTCATATTCCTAGCAAACATGCAGAAGTACTATACAGTACAGGGTATAGCTGAATTCACATAATTGTGAGCTAGATTAGCTTGGGAACCTGATCTGTATCTGTGTGTAGCACTGTAAAGGTATCCCCTGATTTACGATGTTTCGCTTGAACGATGATGATGTATTAAGACCACCCCTCTATTTACGATAATTTTTTTTAATGAATGATGGTCATCGTCTGGCCAAAATCGCTGAAGCGCAGAATATGGAACGCATCTCTTGCTGCACTTTTCAGCTGCGGTCTATCCACGCACTGCCACCTGTGGTGATCGCACATACTTATGATCATGTAGCTCAGTAGGAGGGCATCACTATTGTTCACATTATACTCTATTTTGGTGACTTAAGTAATTTTTGGTATGTTTTTTGTGACTAAGAGTGCTTTGCCTCTATTGTTGTGAACAAGATGTGAGCAGTGTTGGCCGCTATCATTGTTTTTACGTTATCATCTTTCGCTCTGTTTTTGTGATTGAAGTGAGCACTGAACATGTCTGGGAAGGTCAAGGCATCCAGGAAAACTGTCTCTGTAGGTGAAGCTTGACTCCCTAGAGGTTGTGAGGGAGTGAGAGTGACGTCTACTCCACCTACAAGAGCTCCCTTAGCCTCAAAGGGACATGTAATTATTACCAGACTTGTTCTTAATGATGTGGTGAATGTTTTTTAATTGTGTTTTAGGTACCGGTATACAGTACAGTATTATTATTGTAGGAATTTTATTTTTGGTGATACATGTGGGTGTTGTACTGGCTGGGAACGTATTCCATTGAACTTCGAGTTACAATGATCCCAGTTTACGATATTTTGACTTGCAATGGGGTTTTCAGAACATAGCCCCATCATAATTTGAGGGATACCTGTAATTAAAAGATAGCAGATGTTTAGCTTGTCAGTAACTCATGGAACAACAATACAGATGGGTTAAGAATATACCGGTAAGTGAGGTAATTAATTATTGTTATAAACACCTTTCGCCGATTACCCAGCTTTCACCACTGGTTACCAGTGGCCTGGGTTGTATATACAGAAGTAGTCTTTTCTCTTTATATTGCTCACAACAATTCCACAATACTTGAACAACAATTATCTTTAACTGTCACTAGGCCTGTACTTCACACTCTGAACAGAAATGGTCGACTACTACCCCAAATGCCTCGCTGGTGCTATTTATACATCTCAGGCACCTAGTGTGTTCCAGGTCAGAATTAGATATGCCTGGAAAGCTATAGAATGATCTAGGGTTATAATATGTAAATAAATCATAACAAAAATGATGCAATTCATTCTAGAAAATTCTTACATAGGTAATACATCAACATATACAAGAATATCTCCCAAAACTTGCCAAAATAACTGTTGCTTGGATTAGAAAAAAATTATAATACTAAATTATGCCTTGGCATAACAGTGCAGGAGGTCTCCAACTTATAGACGTCCGACTTACGAATGCCCGCCAATACGAAAGGGTTAAAACTTGAAATTTACAGTTTATTGTATTTTATTATCTTGATGACTTATTTTTAATTTCATGTACTCTACTGTATTTTCTCATTCTATTTCTTCTTTTCTCTTAAATTAATTGATTTTAGATGTGTATAAGGACTTAGGCTATGATATAGTGGGATTTTAAACATTGTTCTGTAAGTACAGTATGCATACTGTATACTGTAGCATGTGTTCCAACTTATGAACGTCCTGAGGAATGGAACTTGTTTGTAACCCGAGGACCCCTGTATATACAGTATTAATGCTGAACAGGTACTGTACTGTAAAAGTACAATAGAAGAAACTGATAAAAATGGTATTAACCACTATAAATTATATGAAATAGTGCAATTTCTCATTTTACTCTATCCTTGTTCCTTTTTATACTTTCATGTCTTTCGTTGAAAATTACCACACCCAGTAAGGTAAGCAATAAGTTATTTAACAGGAGTCAGATGTAAGAAGGGTGTTGTCTAGTTGACTCTATTGAATATTTAAGGTTTTCTCTGAGTATTTGTCTCCTGTACTAACATTGGTATTCTGAAAAGAAAGTTGCAGATCTGGATAAACAAGCTTTGCACCATTGCCCAGCGTACTTCATTAAATCTGTAAACTTAAGTCTGAAATGTTCAGTTTAGTATGATGCTATTGGGCAATACCACGTATACAGGTATATCTTTTGAATTTTTCAAACTTCCTCACATATTTATTTAGTATAGTTACTAGAAAAAAAAATAAAAAAATATATATATATATATATATATATATATATATATATATATATATATATATATATATATATATATATATATATATATATATATATATATATATATATATATATATATATATATATATATACTGTGTTGAGAACTTCATATAATATTGTTTATTTTTATCAGATTTTGATGAAGATGCATCACTACAAGCAGCATGTATTCCACCAAGTATCAAACGTAGTCTCAAATTTAAGAGTCCTCCAGGAGTGAAAATGGCGCCAAAGGAAAGTGCTTCTTCGCGTGACAGTAAGTGTTCACTGTAAACGGAAAGAAAGAATTGTGTAAAGTGATGCTGGTGACGGTTTAGTGGGTGGGTGAAGTAGAGGTGAGAGAACTGGGACTGGAGACTACAATAAATTGGACTTATATTATAAGCTAATGTATATGATATTTTATGTACTGTATAGTATTCCTACTTCCCAAAGCCTCTTATGAGGGATAAATTAATAGATGTACTGTATATCACATGGTTTCGTGAATTTAAGAGACATATGGAACTTATGATTTTTGTAACTGGATGATATGAATATTTTGGTGTAGATGATATTGTATAGTACATGCAGACCACCAGATGTTACACTAAATGCAAGAGAGGTATTCTCAGGTTATAGGCTAAGATATAATAAGTTGTATCAAAGAGTGCTAAATGGGAAACTGTGAGGTGAAGAAGTAATTGATCCAAATTACTGTACTTGGGAACATTCTCTGTTTCTCATGACTGTGGTTACTTACTCAGTATATAGAGACAAATAAAATGTTGAATCCTTAATTTTATTGTATATCACCGGACACAAAAGATGTTACTGTACTAAATTTTCTTGTGCATCAACAAAGGTTTATCCGAGCTGACCTTACTGGATGAAAGCCGAAATGGGAACCGTAATGCTCAGAAGAGGGTCGTGGACGATCTGTTTGAGGATGATGTGGACCAGTTCTTGAATGAAGATATAATGGGAAATAGTAAGTACGGTATCATGGACAAGAGTGCAGTAATAATATCTTGTTTAGTAATATAATTAGCATTAGTGATATCCCCAAATATGAACGTACGTACCTTATACAGTATTTGTGAGAGATTTTATTGTGGAACTTTTATTTATTTATTTATTATTATTATTATTATTATTATTATTATTATTATTATTATTATTATCATCATTATCATCATCATCATCATCGGAATGAAGAAATATTAATTATTTGTTAACATCTTCCAAGTCCCTTTCATATTTCATTATACTGCCATATCCTTGGTCACTTAATTTACCTTACTTAATTTCTAATCATTACTTAATCTACTCTTTTAAACTATGGGCCAAGATAACCTTTTCGGTCCTGCCTGATTGTCCCTACAATAACTTGAGAAAAGGTTTGTGGATTTACACCAAACTTGATAGGATTGATCAGCATATAACACTACATTTTAGTTAGCTTTTGCATATTTGTAAGAACAGATACAGTTTATTTAATATCGCTCTTCTATTTAGAAAAGAAAAGACATAAACCGTTGGTTCCACAAGTGGGTGTAGGCATTAGAGATCCAACATTTGATCTCGCTGCCCATGAAGCAGACCTTTCCTTGATTGAACGGATTACTGAGGTACGCAAAACTCTCTATGTCAGTGAATTCCTGGAGTCTGCACCGTTAACTACAGATGTGAGGTTTGTGTTTTGTCCTGGTATTTTTTACTTCCACTTTAAATGAATAGTTATTGGAATTCTTAATTGTTGTTTATAAAGTATTATGGTTACAGTATTATATAATAACAACATGATCCTCCTTGTATTACAAATGCAGTCTCTCTTATCTTTTTTCTCTCTCATCTCACTCGGATTCTAATTCCTTTTATTTTATTGAGATGTACAGCACAGTAGTACTGACATAATTCATAGGCACAGGTATACCCTGAAAACCAATGCCTTATTCAGATTTTAATGTTACTGTACTTTGCTAAATTTCATTACATTTCAACTCCTTTCCTTTAAAGAAAAAATAATTGTACTGAAATTTAATCAATTGCAAAATGATGAATTCAGGAATATGTACTATCCAATCTTCAAGGGAAAATACTCCTTAACAGAAGTAAGCAAGATTTGTACCTGCCATTTTGGGTCTACTGACTAGTGATGCATATGGCAACACAGCAATACCAGCATAAGTTTTTTTATTATTAGTTTTACATTATCAGAGAAACTTACTTTTTAGAAATTCATGTGATATTATAGTTATGTTATACGGGGAAGTAAGTCACTCAAACACACTGATACAGGGGTGTTGTTCAGACTCGGGATCATACACCTCTGTTTTGATTATTTCAGCAATATTTACAGATAGATTTTTCATCATTGCAACAGATAATTAACCCTTAAGCCCCGGGTTAGGGTGCCAAAAAATATTTTTTAACCTTTTTAAATGATAAAACAATAAAAAAGGAAGTAAGAAAAACTATATATTGACCCTCTAGAAACTTCCCTGGCAGTGCGGACGGAGGGGGGGAGATAAGGGGACAGCTTGTTGACGACGTTCGAGCACTCGTGATCAACTACGCACTTAGCAGTTATTTTTAGCTTGCCTTTGTGTCTGGGAGTGCCATTAATGCATATATTTACTGGTCATAATACTTATTTTCTATAAATAACAAATTTAGAATTTATTTTATTTGCATTATTTTTCATAAAAAATGCTCGGCGACAGACACGCAGTCTGTCGCCAGGCTGTCTGGCTGTCTTTGTGTTTGGTAGAGCAAGTAATGCGTAGAAATAATTATTGGAATAATAATTCCACAAATAAATACATTTATAACATAATCATAACATTATTTTCCAGCAATTCTGTACTACACTATAATACAACTACACTACTTTTAGCAATATTACTTTGATACATCATGGTAAAATGAACAAACAATGAAATGAAACAAACAAAAGTAGGTAATTATGTTCAGGAAGCTTCCCTGTGGCCGAGGTGTGGCGTGACAGGCAAATAGTCACACTGGAACCTGATAACCCGTGCCGGGCATTTAAGCAGTGGCGGGAAAAGGCGAGCGTTCTGAAATGTCACCCGGGGCGTATGGGTTAAAGTTAAATATTCTGACATATTAGTAATAAATATGGTGATGTCAGTAGAGACTAATAAAAATTAAGATGTACAAGTAGTAAACCATTACTATACTGTACTTGTAATTGTAAGTAAATAATACAGTACAGGAGGTCCCCGACTTACGAATGCCCATCGATATGAACGAGGTTAAACATGAAATTTACAGTACAGTATTTTATTTACCTGATAACTTATTTTTTACTTTCATTTACTGTATTTTGTCATTCTATTTCTTCTTTTGTCTTAAATTAAGTGATTTTAGATGTATATAAGAACTTGGCTATGATATAGTGGGATTTTAAACATTGTTCTGTAAGTACAGTATGAACATAGCATGTGTTCCAACTTACGTACAAATCCGACTTATGAACGTCCTCAGGAACGGAACCTTTTCGTAACCCGGGGACTCCCTGTATATATATTTAAAAGTTATTTATGTTTGTACAGTAATTATAAATAGATAATTTTATGTGTTTGCCAAAGTAACGCCAGGTGCAGCTGAACAGAAAACTAATGAATAGTCGAACACAAAAATTCAGAATTGTCGAATGTCAAAATATTCTGAACTCGGGTGATTCTGATTTTTCAGTAATTCGAATGACCCAGAGCCTCCTGTTTTGTCAAGTTAACGAGGGTATAGTGTCAACCAACACCTCATCATTTTGCAGTAAGCCATTTTCCATGCTTGCATGGGTTAGCTGTGGTTACCTGATGACAGCTCTCCATGGATGTTTCTTACCTGAGCTTTACTTTTACTTTTTTATTTTTATCCGCTTCACCACTGTTCAACTCGTTAGCCATTTGGGCAGTCGGTCACGTCTCTGTTACGCACTCTTGGCAAGTACTGGGCTTGCACTGGCTCCTTAATGTATCTGAACTTGCTCCAGTGTTGGTCAAGTTTGGTCTTGAAACAGCTCACACTTGGTGCCATCACAACACTCTTTGGCAGGTTGTTCCAAGAGTTCACAATTCTCACTCTGAAAAAGTTGGCTGTCACAGTTTTCTGGACTTGAGGCTTCTTCAACCTTGAGCTGTGACCCCTTGTGGGGCGGGCATCCACCAGCTCCAGGTATGGACACTCGACTAAGTGGTGTCCTTTGAGATGATTATACACCTCATTTAGGTCGCCCCTTGCCCTTCTGTAGTATGAGCTAGGCAGATGCAGGTGCTCTAATCTCTGGATAGATGAGGTGCCAAAGTGCAGACACCAGTCTGGTGGCCCTCCTTTGGACATTTGCAATCAACTGACAGTCCCTAGCATATCTCGGGGACCAGACTCCAGGCGGGAAGCACCTCACTCTTGAAGATCCTTACGAGGGACGGACCATCTAAATATCTGAATGACCTTCTTACTTAATAATTTAGTTGCTTGATTCACCTTTTTCTCACAATGCCCCGGGAAGTTCAGGTCATGTTAACATGCAGACTCAGGACCTTTTCGCATTCAGTCTCGATTAATGCAATTTCTTCATCTCATTGGGGCATATGATACGCCTCCTTATCATTAGTATGACCCAGGTGCATCCTCTTACACTTCGTGACATTGAATTTTAGCAGCCATTTCTTTGACCATTCTTGAAGCTCACAGAGATCTTTCTGCAGCTCATCACAGTCTGTTTGGTTCTTAATTTCCCTAAATAACTTGGCATCATCCACAAATATATGTATGGAAGAGTGTATAGCTTCTGATATGTCATTTATGAAACAAACAAACAACAATGGGCCCAATACACTGTGTTGTGGTATCCCTCTTGTCATGGGTACACAACGATTTTGTCCCATTAATCACCACACACACTTTGCGATCATGCAGAAGGTCTCCGATCCATGCTAGGACACTTCCCCGATTCCTGTACCCTTCCAGTTTAATTCTTGGCTAATGAATGAAGTGATGGATAAATTTACAGATTATGGGTGCCAATTTATTTTATGGTAGAATGTGTTCCTAATTTTGATATTTATGACAATAGAAAGTTGCCATTTGAAACTTAGCTCCCAAACCTATTAAAAATATATTTTCAAGAATGAGCCACTTTTCTTTTTATCTGAATCTCCATTAAAAGCATATGTAATATGCTTCTAGTACAGTACTCTACAGTAAATAGTATATAAAAAAATGCTGTTTTTTCAATTGAATGTATACTTGTACTTTGGAAAAAAAAAGGAGCCTTTTGAATTATTTTAGGGGGAAATTTTGGTTCTTTGGAAATCATCTCCAGTTATATTATGGAAGTTAATTGGAAAACAGGTTTGCAATTATATTATTTTGAATTACAAACAACTTTTCTGGATTACTCTACAACCCTTCCATAACTCACCATGTCTGTACACACACACTATTTTTGCTCCCAGGCCCTGATGTGGGTTATTGACCTGTGCCCTGGTGGGCTAATCCTGTAAAAGAAAAATAATTATAATAATAACGTAATTTTTGTCCTTATTGTCTTTGTTACAACAGCTTCAGCACTATATTGTTTCTGTCTCACAGAAAGTGCGTTTTTTCTCCCTTCTAAAGTGCTATTCATATACGTACAGGTACTGGTTTTCATCCCCACAAAGTTAACAATCTGTCCACCTTATGTCAGATAAATCTGGAGTTTATTTCTATGAATTTCATATTAAATCTGAAGAAAAAATTATGTGCATTATATTTTGATTATTAAAGGACAAAAAACACGGCATGTATTCATCGAAGTCTGCCAGAAGGAGCATTCCAGTCCATCACAACAGAGAGTGGTGACCGTTTTTACCTGAATAAAATGGAAGATGAGGAATGGGATAACCACATTGCTTCCATAGCTACTCACCAGAGGACAACATGTTTATTCAACACTCCATTCTCTCTACTTCGAGACCAGGCAGAAAAAGAGGTGAGTGCTGTTCAAGAGTGAATTGCAAATGCTTGTTGATTTATGTACATAAAATAAAATGCTTGGGTGAATGCTTTTATATTCAGTATGTTTTAAAGCAAAGATAAGTGGCACTTTCTGATTACTGATGTCAGGAACAGGGAATTTATTTTGTTAATTTTGCCACATACAGTGGCTAGTTTATTGTGCACCCCATACTCATCCTGTGAGTGGTAGTGCAAAAAGATTACAGAGTTGAGGTCACAAAGGGTGTGTGTGTAACAGACCCCAGTGGTCAGGATATTATGGCATTGAATGTTACAGAGTACAGTATTTCAAATACATTGTTTGTTTAGTTCTGAACATAGAGGGTGACTTATTCACACACAACTGTGTGAGTACAGCAGTGTGAGGCAATATGCCTGGCCACACACTTTGTTATTCACATTTGTGTGAGAGGTATTCAAGCACATTCTGAATGTGTGTTTTTTTCTATACATGGGAACTGACTTGGCTACTAAGTGCAAAAATGTGGATACAATCTTAATGTGTCAGCTGTCTTGCTATTAGAAATAAAGTGTTGTGCCATTTCACACACAGTGTGCTTGGACCTGACCCTTAAAGGTTCTCTCTACACACAGTGAAGAATGTAGTGTTCGAGTAAGTGGCCATGTCTAGTTGCACTTACTGTATATCCTAACTTAAGTCTAGTAGTTGCAATATCCTGTGTAATCTAGTGATTTTGTTACTTGCTCTATATACTGTACATGTTTCACTTGAAAAATCTCATTATGGTAGACATTCAATTGACTATTTCCTGTTTGCACTATCTTTTTGTGTCAAATTCATCAGCAAGTTCTTTCCTGATTACAGTTTTAAGGATTCTTGTTGACAGACCTAGATTGTATTCAACAGTGTCTTTGTTAGTCACGAGTTTGAATAGGGCATCAACTTTGTTATGTTTGCTGAGACCTATGTGAGAGGGGATCCACAACAGTTTGATCTTGACAGCCCCATCAACAAGGTACACATAATTGTGTATGGGTTAACTTAAGTGAGGATAGAGAATCAGTGATCATGAGACTCGGTATGGTTTCAACAAATTTAATGGCTGTATGTATGGCAACTAATTCAGTTTGTAGAGTGGATGCCCAGCTGTTAATTCTAACTCTTTTCTCAATTGTATCACTCGTTAGGTTGAGTCAGGGAGTTAGTCAAGTTAACATGTAGTTAAGGGGAGGCGATAATTGTTTAGGTACTGGAAATTTGGAGCTTCGCTGCTTTTCACCCTTAAATGACAGGAACTTTTTACATAGACTGTTTGTGCTTATGGGGGGATGAGGGATTTTTTTCCGGGTTTGAGAGAGATGTCTCGTAACCCGGAAGTCACTCATTTCTGGAAGTACTCTGCACCGATTGTTCCAGCAGCTAATGGTGTTAAAAGTAATGATCTTAAAAAATTACTCCAGTTGTTATACATATTCTATCTTGAAAATATTTGGGCTTTAAGAATTTTTCCTTAAATGCTGCCAGGCTCCTGAGTGTAATATTTGTATTCATTTTTTGTATCACACTGATACACTTTTTCTGTATGCAGCCAAACAGACATCAGGCTACCAGGTAGTTTATTTCTCCTTGCAAGGAAAGAGGGAATGGTGTAAAACTATGGGTAGCTCCTTATTTCATTCAGTTTTGGACACTGAAGTGCACTTCAGTTTTGGCTCCATTTTGTTAGCTCAATGTCAGGTTATTTTCATCCCATAGGAGGTTTTTGCTTCTTGAAGTGATTGATGGTAATTTTTATTTATTTTTATTTTTATTATTTTGTCTTTGTTTTGTTTTTTATATATAAATCATGACTTTTCTCTTTATCCAGCAAATTAAGCAGGATGCCAAACGAGCTGCACGCATGCAAGAGGCTGAGGATTCGGGGATGGAGTCTGGTGTGGAGGAAGATGATACTAACAAGGAAGCACTGTGGGTGGAGAAGTTTAAGCCACAACACTACCTTGACTTGCTCAGTGATGAAGTTAGTAGTATATCAAATGGAGTAATGTTTTGAAATCTGCAGAGTTTTGATATCATAGTCAGTAAATGTGAATGGCTTTAGTACAAATTTGAGTACATCCTGGATTATAGAGGTAAAACTGTTGAGTGTAAGTTATATGGCTGCTTGGTTAAAACGAGGTGAACAAAATGATTGGACAAGTCACAAGAGGAAGCAAATGTGAGTGCAAGAATTGCAGAGGAGAAAGTCTTCATTGCATTGTTGATGAAGGGATTGGCATGACTGATAGGTAAGTGGAGACTGATCAATCTGGTGAATTGTAGATAAGCGGCAGCTGATTGACCCGGTGAATGTTTATGATAATTAATCAGGGGCGGACCCAGGGGGGTCCAGACCTCCCCCTTTCATCAGAAAATTCCTATACTTTTCTTTAATGCAGCATTGCACTCAGGCATTTTTGTATTGTAAAAAGTAATTACTATTGACCTCAGAATATCTCCTAATATCAAGTGGATATGGCTTTAAAATGCCCATGATATTGGTTAGATTTAAAAATAAATTCTGTGGGACTTACAGCCGCCCCCCCCCCAAAAAATCACCTGGGTGGGTTTTTTTTGGGGGGGGGGAGGGGGGTGCTGCACTTGCCATGTTCCTCCACCCACAACTTTTTGGACCCTCCCCCCCCCTTTTTTTTATTCCAGGATCCACCCCTGTAACTGTTCAGTGATGAGGACTGTTTGATCAGGTTATTAGAATAGATACCCGTCATTGATGGAGAGTGGCTGGTGAAGTGAATAAGATAACAGAACATCTCAGTTTTATGGATCAGCAGAGATTAAGGGGATGAAGAGGTTGAGTGGATGAAATGTTAGCATATCAGCAGGTTGTGGAGATCAGGTGAAACAAGAAGTATTTGCTGGACTTACGGTAGGAATTAAAGATTGTGCTGTATAGGGTTGATTGATTTCTAATGTGGTAGAAAGACTGAGAAAAGGCTGCGAGTTTACAGAGGAAGTCGTGAACGGTGATTGTGAATGACTTGACAAAAATATGGGAAGGTACCAAGGCTATACAGTTTAATCATACAGTTGATGTTCTGTGGTTCTGAAATTTTAATCTTTCTTGGTACTTGAAGAAATAATTAATGAAGTTGTGCATTTATGTAATATTGAGATGATTTACAAGTCGAAGCTAGAGTAATATTCCTAATATTTTAAAAAATGTCTTCAGAATTATTGTTATGCTTTCATATGAATAGCCTAGTGAAGTAATCTGTATGAAATCCTTGGTTAAAATACAGTATAATAAATACACTATACCTGTATGTATATTGGTGTACAGTTTATTAATATTTACTCTTCATTAGCAACAGTTTGAATGAACATGGTGTACCAACAGTCCTGAGAAAAAAAAATAGGTGGTTGTGTCTGATGCCAGAAGCCTCTCAGACATGATGAATATTGTGGTAAATGGCTTAGTTAAAATTAAATTTAGTAGTGAAATTTGCCATTTGTCAGGTTACCCTGTACTGTACATTGGTCTAAATTACCCGTACTTGTAATGGAGTATTAATGAAAATGTCATTTATATTTTCAGTCAACTAATCGCACAGTACTTCATTGGGTGAAACTTTGGGATAAACTTGTGTTTGGTATTGATAAGAAACCTCGACAAAAAGAAGAGAAGAAAAAGGATTTCCACAAAGGTGAGAAAGTTATTTGGAGAATATATTATAATCTGACTTGTAGAAATATCTGCACATCTAAATGGTGAAGAGTAACTGAAAAATATGAAACATGAAATGTCCTTACATTTAATATTTACTTTTTCAGGTAAGCCTTTTGTGAAGTTTCCTAAAAAACCAGGAACAGAACTTTTAGATGAATTGGATGACCAAAATCGGCCAAAGCAAAAGGTCAGTAAGTCTTGTTTTATCTCTATTATCTTAGTAAGTGTTTTGCATGCTGGAATTTATGTATACAGGCAGTCTTTGACTTAAACTGGTTTGACTTATGTCAGTTTGCACTAATAGTTGGTCACCAATTGCCACCCATGTTATACTTAAAGTTTGCCACTGACTCTGTCGCTGGTTCTGGTTCTGCGCCCAAACAAACATGTGCTCCCGATCAGTCTGCCTCTTAATGTGTTAGGTGCTGTAACTGTATTTTTAGTGATTTTTTGCATTTGCTATTTATTTCATTCTTGAAAATGCTGATAAAAAGGAAAGGTCAATACTCGAGTGATGGTGTTAAAAAGAAACATAGCAAAAAGGCCATTGCCTTAGATGTGAAGAGAAAACTGATAAAATGTAGTGAGTGGATTGTTGAACCTTGAAATTGGAGGACAGTTGAACTTTGCTCGTCCAACTGTTCCAACAATTATTGGGCTCCGTAAAAATCTCCACAAAGAAGTCCATCAAAATCTCCTCAAAAATCCCTTCCAAATTCCATGACCCTGATGAAGGTGTTACTTCACCTTCACATTTTTTGCAGTAATTCCCTGTCTGTAACTGCAAACATTCAGTCCAAATAAGCCGGGAATTATGGAGAACCGAGGTAATAACTCTCAATGATATAATTGTACTTTAATACTTTAATATGATTAGGCCAAAATGAGTACACGGTGTACACTATCCAGGTGTCCCCCGATTTATGATCTCCGTATTTTCGATATTGCGCTTGTGAATGATGGTGATGTATTAAGACCACCTCCCTATTTACGATATAAAACTAAGCATGAACAACAGTCATCGTCCAGCAAAAGTATTGAATGCATCTCTTGCTGCACTTGTCAGCCACAGTGTAATCTACCACCATGCGGCCACCCAGTGCACTACAGTCTTGCTTTTTGTTCCAAGGTGATCGCAGCTGTCCGTGATCATGTACCTCAACGATTATCAGTCAGATCAGTGTTGTTACTTATTATATATATATATATATATATATATATATATATATATATATATATATATATATATATATATATATATATATATATATATATATATATATATATATATATATATATATATATATATATATAATGTTTTTTTTTCTATTTTTTTACTTTACAATAAGAGGACATCACTATTGTTCAGATTGAATTCAGTTTTTGTGATACTGACAAGTGCTTTTCCTCTGTTTTTGTGACTGAAGTAAGCAGCATAACTTAGAAAATGTCTAGCAAGCTGTTGCTGAAGGCTCCTACAGTATGTCTGGGAAGGTCAATGCGCTCAGGAAAAGCATGTTTCTAGAGGTGAAGCTGCCAGGCTTGTTCTTAATGATGTGGTGAGTGTTGTTAAGTATGTTTTAGGATTGCTTTTTTATTTTTTCGGTGGTACATGTGGGTGTCGGCCTTACTGGAAATGTATCCCATTGAACCCCATGAAATGTATCTCCCGATTAACGATATTTCAATTTGCGATGTATTTTCAGGAATGAAACCCCATCATAAAGTGGGGATAGCTGTACCTGTGGTTCTTATTACATGCCCAAGAAATTTTGAGGTAGTAGGATAGTTATAACATGGCAGGAGTTGTGATATATGAACTTTAAACAAGTAATTTTGACGTCTGTTGAGTCTTCAGTATGATATTCTTTGAAAATTGTTACAAAAGGTCTCTGGTGGCACACACATGCTAGAATATTCTTTACTTTTTGTTTTAACACTTTACAAGGACTGAGGCAGCTGTGTTTCTTTTTAAAAGTGTTAATGCAGTCTTGCAAGATTCAAGATGGCTGTGCCCCTGTGTTGATGGAGGGATCTTTCTAATCCTTGTTTTTTAAAGCTTTATATAATACAGTACTGTATTTTACTGTAAATTTACAGTACAGTATATATATTTTTTCATAAAACAATGAGATTAATTCATTCAGATCCACAAAATGTTTAAGGTCAATAATAGAGATGTAGAGACCATTGTTACTGTGTACAGTATATATTATTTATGACCTTAAATATGGTATTTGTATTCATATCTATAATAGTGTGCTTATTATACCCTTGGTCAGGAACATAACCCCCATTTATATCATTGTATCTCTGGGAAAATCAGTCTTGATTTACATCTTTTCAGCTTCTGGCACCTTTTCAAGGAACGTAACCTGATTTAAGTTTGATGACTGTCTGCATTGATTCAGTAATCTTAATAGATAAAAAGTTACTGGAATTATATATCTAGATAGAAATCTCCAATGGCCAGTATGCTAAAGTTATTGTCATCATTGTCATAGCTATTCTCAGCACTCGTAACGATCAGTTGTTATTTTATGACTGAATGTTTATATTTTTATTACTATTAATCAAGTTGCTTAAATAATAAGGTATGGAAAACTTATTTTGCTTTGGTCATGTTACTTTCCACTCATCATGCCATTACTCAAAATGTCTTTATTAACAGGTTATTCTTCTGTGTGGACCACCAGGGTTAGGAAAGACCACTTTAGCTCACATCATTGCCCGTCATTCTGGGTACAATGTGGTTGAAATGAATGCCAGTGATGACAGATCAGTTGATACATTTAGAACTAACTTGGAAAACGCAACATCTATGAGATCAGTTTTAGGACCAAATCCACGACCTAACTGCTTGATTATAGATGAGATTGATGGTGCTCCTGCTGTAAGTGTTATTGTGCTTTTTTGTTTTAAGATGATAGTGGATAAGATGAGTCTCTTTTGCAGCTCACAGGGGCACAAATGCAATTACAGTATATACCCTGTATATAACTTGATATTGTTCCCCTTTCCTGATTTTTTTGACAAGTAATCTTGCAAAATTATTATATATTTTATTTTTATCTTTCATTAAATGGATTATTGCTTATATAATTTGTCTTTAATATTTTTGTCTGTAATTAAGGACTTATATAACTAATAGGTGGATTGAAATGTGTGTCGAGAGTGAGAACTATGTTAATGGAATGGTTGTTGGGACCTAATGGTTCCCAGGTCTAGCTAGAGGGTGGGAAAACCTAATGACCATAACGGTCTAGCTCAGGGAGTGGATGTCGGGTACATGGTTGCTCCCAGGTTGAGTCTGAGTTCCCTCTCTGCTAATAATTATGGCATCCAGCCATACAACTTAGGGTATTTCAGATTTGCCTGATGACAGCCAGGACACCATGCCATCAGGTTAACTCTTGAAGGCATGGAAAATGGTGATAATGATTGAGTGTGGATTCTGGACAGAAAAATGACATACAGTAGTAGAAGGATACAGAGAATAAGAAATACAGAAATGAGGAGATGTGGAAGTGAAAGCTTGGTAAAAATGTATAATTAGGTGGTATGAAAAAGGGAATGACAAAAGACACAGAAGCATGTGCTAGAAGTGAGGGGGGATAGACATCGAGGAAGCAACATTGTAAGAATGAGTGGAGAGCATGGCCTTTTTTTTGGGGGGGGACATGCCTAAAATGGGTGATGTTGGCTTGTGTGAAGTAACAAGTAAATCTGAGACGTGTCCTTGTTGTAGATGGATAATGACAGGGCAGACACATCTTTTGCAGCAGATAAATTGTGCATGTGTATTTGCTAGTTTCTGGTCATGCTTTATTATGTAGAAAAGGGCAATATTGCCTCACATTGTTCTTAGTTAAAATTCTTGCTCAAATTGCCTCTACTCCACAGCCCTCTATCAATCTTCTAATCAACATGCTTAATGGAAAGGACACTAGTGGGAAAGGAAAGAAGGGAAAACAGAAGAAGGATACCCCAACAGCCTTGAAGAGGCCAGTTATTTGTATTTGTAATGAACTTTATACTCCAGCACTACGACCTCTTCGCCAAATGTCTCTTGTCATTCAGTTCCCGCCAACTCCGACTGCAAGGTTACTATCCGCCCCTCTTTAAACTTATAGAAATTAAGCAGATTTTTATCTTATATATTGGTTTATTAATAGATGTAAATCATATGAATTTGTTAACTTGAAATTGTTTTCCATTTGCCATAATTTCATTACACTCTTATTTATCTATCTGTTATCTAATCCCCTTCTGTTTTGTGTGTGAGGTGGATCGAGGCGTAACGACAGAAATATCAAAGAATGGGGAATATAATAGTGAATGATACAAGACAAGTGTAGAAGGATAGAGCGAAGACAAATAAAAATATCCTCACACACACACAACACACACTTATACATACATATGCTTATATATCCACTTTACATACACACTACTCAGTATGTAAAGTGAATGTTTATTTTTTATATTAATTCAAACTCTTCTGAGCAACTGTGCATACTAGGTTGATTCGTGTTACCTTTACAGTACTGTATAACATTTGGAACAACTCCACTGTTCACAGGCCACAGTTGTTCCTTATTAATTTTTTAATGTGCCACCACAATACTGTTAACTCACATAGTTATTTCTCCACTTTCTTATTCTGTTTCATTCTCATAATTTGAACTTATTTCATAAATATTTCCAATTTATCTCTCATCTCCCATGAGCTCCACATGTCCACTCCATCTTTGCGCACTCTCGTCTGTTTAACTCTCTTATATACAGTAGTTCAGACGGCTCTTACATTTTTTTGCTCAACTTATCAGTTCTCTGAATTCACACAATGCCTCTCAAACCTTTCATTTCTGCTGCTTTCAGTCTTGATTTATCACTACTCAAGTACACAATTTTCACATCCATATTAAAGTTTGAGCAAGCTCTTCTTTATTTGGTGTTTTTGCTAAATTTACACTCAAGCTCCTCCCACTGATTAATGCTCTCAGTGCCCCACTTTTTTTTTCCTTGCTTTACTACAGTATATTGATTTTTCTCCATTTTTGAACAGTGCTCCTAAATTCTTGTTGTTTTTATTGTAAATAAGGTTTGGTAAAATGAGGATGAGTGTGGTTTAGTTTTTTTTACAGTACAGTCGTCCCTCGGTTAACGAACACAATTCGTTCCAGAACGTCATTCATTAACCGAAAATTTTGTTAACCGAAACCATTGTTTCAATGGGATTTTGGGTAATTGGTTCCAGCTCACCGAAAATTACATACAAAGTAAAAATAAATGCAGTAAAGTACACTTAATTTGAGGTGTGTATGTAGAAGGATCCTGGTTGATGATGATGGGAATTAGAAATGGGGGTGGAGGAGAAGGGAGAAGAGAAGGAAGTAGGGGTGGAAGAGAAATCACCCCATGCTTCATGCCCTCATTTCACCCATAAAATTTTAAGTTCACTCGGTGTAATTCAAGATTATTTTCTTTAAATCAACACTGCACTGCACTATATATTGTCAATGTGTAAAATAAATTTCAGAATGACCATTAATTGTACTGTAAAAATATAAAAATAGTTTATGTTCAAGAGAGCCACAAGCAAGATGTTACTCCACTGACCAGAGATACAAACTGACGCCTTGTTGGGTGAGTCAAGTGGCTGATTGGCGCACCAAAAACTAGTTTCCTGTACTGCAGTTATGTTAAATAAGTGTTAAAATGACTAATAATTTTAATATAAAACTTGGAAAATTATTGAATAGTACAACCTTCTTGATATTTACTTAAATGGGAACGAATTTAAGCCCTAGAACCGATTACTGTATTGGCGGACTAATATTCCAGCTGGTGAGCAAGCGAAAACATGTTGACATGATTTCGTAAAAATTTCATTAACCGAATTGAAGATTCTTATGGAAGGTAATTCGTTAACCGAAATTTCGTTAACCGAGGGATCACTGTATACTGTAAACTGGGTATATAAATAATAATAATAATAATCTTTATTGAAAGGATAGTATGAGATCTAGTTTCAGGTGTACAGGTAGTTGGTTGAAGGAGGTTGGATTGGTTAGCTTAGATTCAGGTTTGACTTTTATCTGTCTGGTCTGTACCGTACAGTATATACTTATAATTATTACTAATGAAAAAGGAAGATAGGATTAGCTGTCACAGTGAGAATATCATTCAAACTTGAAACTACAGTACAGTACTTATTTAAAATTTGGATCCTTGGCTGAGAGGGGTGGTTGAAATAGTTTGGTTAGGTTAGAATTTTTTAAAGTAATACGGTATTCAGATTTATTAACTTACTTTCAGAAAAGTGTCATGTTGAATTTTTATAGATTACCAGATTTGTCTTCTTACATAATCACTTCACATTGTTGTGTTACAGGCTAGCACAAAGACTTCTTGAGATTAGTAGGAATCGCCAATTAAAAGCTGACTTGACGGTCCTCATGGCTCTCTGTGATAAAACTGAGAATGACATTCGATCCTGTCTTTCTGTCCTTCAGTTTGTCAGGTACAGTATTTGTAAAAATTATTTTGTTTACACAATTTTTCAGTAGCAAGTACTGTACTGCTTATGTTTGTTACTTCAATTTTGTGTTTTAATATTATCTGTTAGCCAGCCTCCATTTCTTATACCTTAATGTGGAATGCAAGAGGTAAATGAACTTGATGCTGTAACGTAAAATGCCGAGATGAGTAGAGAACGTGGTACATTTAATGGGGATGTTTGAGCCACTCATTTCATAACTGAGTGAAAACACTAAGTATAGGTAGAAAGACTGGCTGTAGAATTGTGAGGTTTGTAAAAAGATAGAGTTTGGGCCCCAGCCCTATTAATTGGATTAGGTTAATTTGAGGGTTTCATAGTTCTGAGGCTTGTTTGATTAGTCATCTAATCTGTGTAAGGTAGTACAGTAGTTATTATCTTCAGAAAATTTTTTATTTTCAGGAGCACAAAGGGTGATCTCAATCTGAGTGACATTGAGGGTGCTGCGGTTGGACAGAAAGACTATCAGCGCTCTTTGTTCACTGTGTGGCATGACATGTTTTCAATACCCAGACCAAAAAAGTAAGTGTATTTGGAACTGGAAATAAGTTATCAATATTTCATCATACTTGTAGTCTGTTTTCACCTACATTAAATGGAACGTGCATATTAACAGTTTTATGGAAAGCAGAACACACTGATAGATAGTGAAAAGTAGTAAGAAAGCTCCAGATGTCACAGGCTATATAGATTTGCTATAAGTTCATTAAAACAAACTGAATCAAAAGAATTCTCCATAAAATATTTGCATCATATCTATTCACTTTACGTAAAAAAAATTCATTCGCATTCCGATCCACACACATTTATCTGTTTACTTTTATTACTTTTATATACATGTCTGTTATTTATTCCTTTTATATATATTCTGGAAATATTCATTATTGTTTTTTGTTTTTTTCACTTTTGCAAGTCCTGTCTCACTTGAACACAGTAGCTTTAATTAAGTGCAATATTTTTCTTTCTTCCTTTCAAGCTGCCAAATGCTTAATAATGTAGAGACCATGCATAGCACAGGTGCTTTTCCCGATGTTCAGCCAACAATCATCATAAATATTCATCCTTATTCTCTGCTTTATATTGAAAATGCAGGAAGAAGGCATCTTTTCTTTTATTTATTAATTTACATACAGAATAAAGTAAATATTATTTTGATGAACATGAAATTGTGTTTATATTGAACTAATTTTGAAAGCACCAATTCATACTTTTCCCCGAAACAGAAGGAGACGAGCAAATCCTCACGAAGTCGAGCATGACGATGGGGTTCTCATCTCCATGCCAGAACTGACTGGAGATCTTGATAACTTTGGTGAGCAGACTAGTCTGGGATTCCGCTTTCAGCGTATACTTCGGACAACTCAGTCATGTGGAGAGTACGAGAAACTTACTCAAGGATGGTTTGAAAATTACCCCAGCATTAAATTTAAAAACACCAACATGGAGCCAGTAAGTAATATATTGCAATGACTTTCCATCGTAGAATTCATTAACAATTGAATTACTTATTCTTATATTTTCACCGCTTCTGGAAAAATAATAAATTAAGTCAAGTCTCCTTAATTGCCAACATATTTTCCCTGCCAGCCCTCTTTGGAAGATTGATAACTACAGTATAGCAAAATAAATATTTGCAAGGAAAGACCATTTAGTATAATGGCACTGAATGGAGAAGAGCTTTAGGTTTTGAATGATTTTAAGGAGTTTTGTATGATGTTCAGTGAAGATGGAAAAGTGGAAGCTAATAATGTTAATGAATGCAAGAAAGATGAGGAAATAAATTCTTAAGAGCAATGATAAATGTGATGACTTTTATTTTAGAGTTTGTAAACAGATTTACTTTATATACAGGGTATACTGGGTATGAATTTTGAAGTTTTGGAGTACATTAGTGATAGGTTTGAATTGAGAGTATTATGACAGTTTAAGGGTGAAGAATGTAGACATAAAAAGAATGCTTTGGTAGGAAAGCTCTCGTGTAATAAAAGATGCGAGAGTGTAAAGTAATCTCCTCGTTAACCGGACTCTTCAATTCCCAGAACTCTCCAATAGCTGGAGTGAATTTTTTAGCCTGATAAATTCCTGGAAAAATCTCTCCATTATGGGCATGGGAATGAATTTTCTGGGAATTCTGAGAGATTGCCGTAGGCTCACTCGGTTCGCATTCTGCTGCCATTGTACAGTACAAGGTTGTTCCATGCTCGCTGCTGTTTTTGCATATACTGTAATTTGTGATGTGCAGTGCTGTACATTACTGTACCAGGACACAATCAGCCAAGAATACAGTGTTAAAGTAGTGTTAAATGATTGTAGTACAGTACAATATACTGTACTATACATTGAGTAAGTGTGAAGTACTGAACAAGCAGACTGGTCAATGTATGCCTACTGTAGGCTAGTATGTAGAGGTGTATGTATAGTATACAGTGTGTGTAAAATCCCTCTTTCATCTAGAGGAGAGGAGAGTGACAGCAACACCTGCTACAGGAGATGGCACAGGACAAATGTATACCATCCTGTATCATCATACAGATGGTCCTCATTATAAGTGGTTAATAGGAACCCCCCCAAAAAGCCACTGATAATGAACCCACTTATAAAGGGGAATTAATTCCCATGAGAATTAATAGAAGCAGGTTCTAATGAGGAACATCACATTGTAAGTGACACTCATGAAGTTTAATTTGATATCTTTTAACATTTATATAACCTTAGAAACATTTGTTATACATTTGATTACACATTATTTCACGAAATATTTAACTTTTATAACTTATTTAAGGTACTTGAAGCCATTTGGGGTCGGTGTGTTGATGCAGCTCAAGCTACCTAACCATGAACACATAGACATATTTCAGTCAAAATGAAAGTGGTTCGTTGAGACATGCTCCCCACTTTTCTAACGACATGTAACTTCTCATTTCACGTCCATCCCATAGCTACTACACCTCTTTTTAGCCGCTACACTTCCTTGCTTCAGTTTGGAACTGATGGCTACAAAAATAATCCACCAATGTCACCAAAGACACAACAAAGATGATAATTATAGTCTTTGGAGCATTTCAAAATAATGCCTGTGGTGTGGATGCGGGTGACTGGTACTTAGCATGCATAGCACAGATGAGAAGGATGAACTTTAAGAGAGTGGGAGGCAGGCGGGAATCTCAATCGCTCAAACACTTGTGCTCCCGATGATCCACGGATTTTGGCCTTAGAATCCTCTTAACTTCAGAGACTTTTTATGTGTAGTTCCACAGTTATTTGATCACTTAAGTGCAAAACCACTTATAATGAAGACACTTACAACAGGGACCCCCTGTATCACCATTTGTCCTGCCTGCATCACAAGCCCAAGTCAATAGCATCTGCTGGTGAATGCAGTACAGTATAGTGTTTACATTACTAGTATATTTTGTTTATTTACAATACAATATACTGCATTGTACGTGTACAGTGGTGTTATTTACAATACAGTATTCTGTATTGTACGTGTACAGTGGTGTTTGCATAAATAAATACAGCTCTGTCTCTGTTTGTACGAAATCTTTCCCGAGTACCCAGAAAAATTCTGGGGATGTGCAATAGTGTCTGTCCATACGAGATGCATAGTTTAGACTCGGAAAACTTACCCCAGCGCAGTACCTTGAAAAATTCCGGTGATGTGCAATTTTTTCTGGGGAAGAGAAAATTCATCTCCATACCCAGAAATTTCTCATTCCTGGAACAGCTCAGAACTAATTATTCTGGCTAATGGGGATTTGACTGTATTAAGATGATATGGTCATATACTGTATAGTACTTAGTAGGTGAGAGATGGGTGAGGGAGATTTATAATAGCTTGATTGGAGTTACAAAAGAAAGAAGACCAAGAAAGCTGTGACATTGTTAGAAGAATGGTTGTCTGTCTCATATGGTGGAATTGTTTCATGCATGATAGTAATGGTATGTATAACCATAGTTTTGGTAGAATTTTCTTATATTATTTGCTGAACAAATGATCTACATTCCAATTACTGTGCTTGTCGTTATCACACATTTTCCTTTTACTTTGCAGTTATCTTTACCATAATCTTTTTATCACTCGCTTTACAAACTGCCGTCTAATTTATTTATTTATTTATTTTTTTTTTTTTCAGAGGAATAATTACTACATTTCTTTGCAGGTTAAAATGGGTCTTGATTGGGCAGCCTTTACAGACTTGTTGCAAAAGGAGATAATGCACACTCAGTCATGGACTTTGATGGCCTTTCTACCTTATGCCTGTGTGTCATATCACCTACTCTTCGCCAGCCACCAGTGGCCTAAAATACAGTACCCGAATCAGATGTATGAGGTAATGTCTTTATTTTATATTTATTTATTTATTTTTATCACACACACACACAGAATTGATATTTTCACATTTTTGTAGAGTAATAGTAAATACTTCTCAGCTGCCATGTCTCTGATTTTTCTAACTATTTCTGTCAGAACAGATGCATCAGATGTAGGACTGGGTGCTGTATTGTCACAGTACAAGAGACTGGAAATGTATTAGATCGACTGCATTTGCAAGTTGGGAACTATTTAAACATGGAGTATAGATATGCTGCCATATAAAAGGAATGTCTAAGAATTGTTTGGGTGATAATAAGTTGTGGGAAGTAACATGGGTAAAGGTGAACATTGGTAGATATTTAGTGTATGTAAACACCATTATAAAGTGACAACAGGTCACAAAATCACACAAGGTATGTTAAGTTTTTTCTCCCATAGACAAATCAGAAAATGATAAAGAACAAGAACCTACAAGCAGCCATGATAAATGAGATGAGTCCCATGACCCGGGTGTTTGTGGGAGCAAGTCCACTTGTGCAAGATATTCTTCCTTACCTCTTCCACATCATCCAGCCCAATCTACGTCCAGTAAGTTTTTGATACAGCGTTTCCTTATAGTTCTTTATACTGTACTGAATAGTATTTCATTTTTGTCATTATTCTTAAATTAATTAGCAGCATGGATTTTAATATGAAGGTGTGGAATAACAATGCCTGAGGTGGGGAAACTTTTGAGGTTGGAGGTCCAGATTTCAATTATAAGAGCTCTTTGGGGCTACCTTTTACATTCAGTATTAGTAATAATCTATGAAGATAATATATAACCTCTAAATTTCATCCAGATCTGTCAATAAATTCTATACCCCATGAGAGGAGGGAGAGAGAGAGACTGGAGTAGGGTCGCGGTTCACCCCGAGACCCTCAGCGTGGCCCGGGTGCCACAGTTCCCCACCCCGATTTAGACCATTAATAGAAAGATCTCATAATGCTACTTTAGATTGTTCTTTTATCTTCAACATTCAGTTTTTCCTCTGAAAAGAAAATCCAATTCATATACACATAACTATAAAAACAAACCTTTGAATAAGACACGATCCCAGACTTCATAGTTGCCAAGTAGATTTGTAAGCTTGTTGAAGAATTACTATTGTTTGAATTAAATAATATATTGAAGTTCCATGCCATAAAGGGTAAGCTGCATTAGAAATGTTTTTATATTCATTAAAATAATTTAGTATTTCATTAGGGAGATACTTGGGATTTCCCTGTTTATTTCTTATCTCTTATGACCTATGAGGCATTTTTCAATTGCCTATTGAGATTCCTCCCAGAATACCTCTTGGTAAAGCTATCCTTGTCAGGAAGCCATCTGCCTTGAGTTAGGAATACTGACCTTCACAGGTCAATGAAAGTGCATAAATATCTATTTGTGCATTAAAAACACATGTTTGCCTCTTTTTCCATTATCTTAACAATTATCTGTACAGTACATAGTTCTCATAATTTTATTAGATAATTGTTTATAATTTTCTTACCAGGTGAATACTCAGTTATATAGTAAACAAGAAAAAGAGGAGATGACTGGATTGATCAACACAATGATAAGTTACAACCTTACCTACACCCAAGAGAGGAACTTAGAAGGACAATACTCCTTTGTTTTAGATCCGTAAGTTACTTAATTCTTTTAAAGTATTCAAGCAGAGGGAGAGAACTAGATATTGAGTATGTTGGAGTTTGAAATATATGATAGGGAATTCTTTTAGTTTCAAGTCAAGGGAGTTAACCCCAAGGCTTTGGGTCACATCATATGACGTGCTTCTGTAAGAGCTTTGGGTCAAGTCATATAACGTGCATCTGTGTGAGCCATTATGTCTGATAACCCTAAATCTGGTACAGTACTGTACTTAGAAACGCTTAAATTTTTATTGGGGCAGATTATGGAAAAGTACAGTTGTTTTGTTTGTTTTTCTCTCGGGAGAAGGTGTAGAATTTAGCCCACTGGAGACAGCAGTTTGGGGATTCATTAGTCCGGGGGAGACGTCAACTTCACGGATAATATGCAGGCTTTTTTCTTTTCTTTTTTTCAGACAAAAAAAGTGCATCTTATATGCTGTAAAATACGATAATTGATTCTTGTGTAAGTTGATATAAGGTTGTGATGCTAGGTAACTATCTACAGTATACTGTATTGCTATTCAAGTCTATTCTTTCAGGAACATGGAAGAAGTTGTCCACTTTCCGGATATTAAGCCATCTAAACAGCTTTCTTATGCTACTCGACAGCTTATATCCCGGGAAATTGAAATAGAGAAAGTGCGCAGAGCAGAGGCATACTTTATTAATCAAAAACTGGTAAGAGCTGATGAACTGTTCATAATGAACACTAGCAATATGGTGATAAATGCTAGTTTTCAGTAGTATTTTTCCACACATGGCAGATTGGTCTTGCAAAATTTACTTATAAAAGTCTTTATTTTTTTCTGCCAGCCTTTGTAATTTCTTGGGTCATTAGAGTAGATTCATAAGTCGAATGAGAACAGAGAAAAGGACAGAATCATGGAAAGTTTATTTGGCACAATATAATTTTTATCGATTAACTTTTTCAGAATGAAGAAGCCAGATTTAAAGCCAAAGTTAATGTTAAGGCTTCTTCATCAGCCCTGCAGAAAAAGGACAAAGTAACAGAGAAAAGCTCCTCAGAGGTCATCACACCTCCAAACAGTTCACTGCCAAATCATTTGCAAAAGATAAAACCTAAACATATTGAAACTCTTGCTTTAGAGGTGAGTGTCATTTTCCATTTTTCTCAGATAATTTTTAATTAATTCAGAGAATAAATGAACGCTTAAAAGGTGTAGCAGTAAACAAGAATAATTCTTCTTAGTTTAGTATTGTATTATTATGTACAGTTGCAAACAAAAGTCTTGTTGCCTCTCCTGCTTCTCCACGAACCCTGAGATTCAGACTTGTGAATCCAGGGCATTTATGGACAGAATAATGCATCAGTGTTTACTACTTTGGGTTCACGAGGTTTGTGGAACAGCAGTAGAGGTGACAGGACTTTGGACCGCAGCCACACATGCATATTTGATATTTAAATTGTAATTTAGCAGAAGAAAGTTCTTAATGGTCAGTACAGTAATACTCCGGATAGCGCTCAGGATACATTCCTGGATAATGGAGCGCTATCCAAAACAGCGCTCTAAGGGGTCATTATACCATTGCATATGGAGATGCTTTTCTGATGACATTAACTTTTACCTGTGAGATATTTACAATATTGTATGTGAAGGGTACAGATATCAATAATCACAGATTGTTAAAGTAATGTAACTTTACTAATTAATGAATAACAAATAAACAATATTGTATCATGAATTACAGTTGTTTGATGAATAATAGTGATGATTGTAGAATGCGTGTGAGAGGCAGCACGTTAGCAAGGTGCAGTGGGTGGGTGGGAGGGAGGGAGGCAGGCAGGCAGGCAGATGGAAGGCCGTGGAGATCATACGGCTCTGCTTGTGCTGAAGCTAATCTAAATCTGCATCACTAAAATTATGATTTAGGTTGTGATAATAGAGGTAGTAGTGGTGAGGCATCCATCAGTTTCTTTGGTAAAACTGCCAGACACTATTGAACAGCTGATATCTCTCCACAAATTAAGTGTAAGCATAAATGAGCATCTGCACAATACTATTTCTTGGTATCATTTGCACTCACACACATACTCAATAATTTGGAAATATTACAATAAAACTTATCACCTAATATTATATTTGTACTTGCAGTCATATGTTATTAATTTTGCTGATAAATTGTCAACTATGAATTATGAGTAAACTAAATATGGTATTAAATTTATTTTATTTTTATTTTTATTTGTTTATTTTTCTCACAGTATGCTTTATTTAGTTACATGAATACTACTTAGATTATATTATCATTACATGAATATTGAGATCATTTGTTATTAGTACCAGGATCTTCAGAACACAAAAATAAAGATCCCTGTTTGTTCTGTGGCTCAATCCTTTGGGACAATTTTTAGGATTATTTTACTGTAATCAGTTTAATATTACTTGAGGGAAACACTTATATTCAGTTTACTAAACCATTTCTAACTGTCTATTGTCTTTAAGCATCTCATGTTTTTGTTTTTTTAATTATTACTGAATTATTATTTTTTCACTCAAAACAACACTTCAGACAGTTAACAAGACTTTGATAGATTAATGTTTGCACATTAGTTTATAGCTTTATGTATAGTACTATTTGTACTGTATGTGTTTTGACCAAAATATTTTACTAAAACAAACTAATGAATGATATTCCACAGGAAAGCAGTAAGATTGGATCTGGAGAAGTTGTACAGGTAAGATAACAATGTGAAAGTTGAAGTCTTTTGATTTACTTTTTAAACTTTTCAGTAAAATGTTTCCATAATTAGGAGAATGTATTACATTATTACAAATTAGTTACAAAATGATGTATATACAGTAATTATCCCATTAGCCAGAATCTCCTGTCCCCAGAACTCTCCAATAGTAGGAATGAATTTTGAGCCTACTGGGAAAACTCTTCCCATTCCAGGCATGGGATCAAGTTTCCAAGGATCAAATCATATACATTTTCCTGAAAATTCGGAGAAAAAATCTCTACTCTGGGTATGGGAAATTTTTTTTCAAGAGTTCCGAGAGATTGCAACATGCTCCAATTCGTCCGCACGTTTCCCCACTTTCTGGGTGCATGGGTGAGCTAGCTGCTTGGGTAATTTAGGCCATAAGCTCATGCACTTAGTTCATATTCTGTTGCCATTGTACAAGGTTGTTCCCTCGCTTGCTGCTTTTTTGCATACAATTTATGTTGTGCAATACTCTACATTAGTGTACCAGAACACAATTGGCCAAAAATACAGTGTTAAAGCAGTGCTAAGACATAAAACGTGATACAGTTACATATACTGTACATGTACAGTATACGTATGCTTACTATAGGCTAGAGTGGAGAGGTATACAGTGCCTGTATACTCCCTCCAGAAGGAGGGAGAGGAAAGTGACAGCTGGTAACACCTGGTACAGTAGATGATCATGACAAAGACAGGCCATCCTGTATCATCTTATCACCATTTGGCAGCAGGGCTTCTGCAGTGAAAGTATCCAACATTCTTTAGCAATAAAGAAAAAAAATGGTATTTTGCAAAAAAAGAAATACATTATACTGTACTGTATATACTGTATATATATTTTTTCAATTAAAATACAATACTGTACAAGTATCCCGCGAGATACGAAAATTCGCTTACCCCTGTATACGTATTTCCTAAATTACCACCTCTTTTTCGTATTATGAGAACTTCTCCTGCTTATACGAATTTAGGCCCCAGCAAAAATTCAAATTGTTTATTCCTGGGAGTCAGCTGGGGTAGGCACATCTCCCTAGCTCTCCACTACCAGGATGAGGTAGGAGTTATGTTATGGTTATTTTTCAACTTTTAATTTTGGGTATATAAACATAACTTTTTTCAATTTTTTTTCATTCAGTTACTTGCACACAATCCTACATACATAATTTGGAAAAAAGTAAAAGAAATGCTGTAACTATCATAATGTCAAAATCATAAAGGGAATAAACATTTCTTTGTGTGTGAGATCAGGTAGAAAAGTGTTGCTTAGGGTTGGCAGAGGTGGCCGGGCTGCATTGCTATGAGGACGCTTGAGGGTGGCCACGCATGAAGCAGCCAGTGTCAGTGTAAATGGTGCCACTGGCATCTGTGTTAAACTTTGATTTAGATTTTCCTTTATAGCTTTAGCATATTTTCATCTAGATAATATTTTACTAATGTATTTTGTGTGTTAGGTAGTAAATTACAGTAGTTGTGTACTATTTATCATTCAATAGGCAGGCTTTTTCTTGTTTGTGAATCGATTTTGTGTTTTCGGGGTATGATATTGGGGGTATTTTTGTCATTGGGGATCTGAACCTCATTTTTCCCATGTTCCTCTATTTGAGATATGAAAATTCACCTAAAGAATGTTTTTTTTTTTCTTCCTAACCCATTCATATATTGAGGGATATCTGTAATAGAAAAATATTGTCTCGTAAGGTACGTACTGTAATGCATTTATAACTTAAATTTCATTCAATTGCTTCAAATATATGATACAAGGTACCTGTGTTCCCCTAATTTTTTTAACATTTTAGGTTAGTAAAAATCTGTGGGGCTACCGGATATGAAAATTTACTTGCCCATTGGGGTTTGTGCAAATAAGTGTAGCTCTGTGTCTGTGGAGTTTAGACTGGGAAAAGTTTTCCTAGTATAGGGTGGAAAATTCCACTGTGTTGGCTGTGACTCAACTACATTCAACTTTATATAAACTCTTCAGGATTATTTTAGTGAAAAAATGGTGTGTAAATTAATTAGAACTGATCTTGTAGAATCCATTATTTATTTTATAAATTTTTTCATAAAAGAATGGAATCCCCATCAATATATTGTGTCAAAATATTTTAGTTAAGAATCTTTTATTGAAATAATGTTGTAGAGAATTTATTCAGGATCATTATGGTGCCAAATTTATCTCTTGAACACAATTAGAACAGGTGCTGTGGATAAAAGTTTCTATACTTTTTCACTAGCCGTAAATATTTTCGTTTGTGACTGCGGCCTAAATGTAATCAGACAATGTTTATCCAAGCGAGAAACACCCAGGAAACATTCTGGGGATGTGCGTGATGCATAGTTTAGACTCTCAGAAAACTTTCCCCAGTACATGTATAGGGTATTGGGAAAAATTCTGGGATGTGTGACTTTTTCCAGGGACGAGAAATTCGTCTCGGTACCATACCCAGGAATCTCTCATTCCCAGAAGAGCTCTGCACCAATTATTCTGGCTAACAGGGGTATCACTATGTTAAATATAATTTACTATACTGTATTATGACAACCTTATTTTAGTATGGTTTTATTTACTTCTTTTAAATTAATTGTAAATCTCTAAGATTAGTTTCCTGTTTGTAGATTATTAATATTATTATTATTGCTATAAATTTAATCCTTTCTTTCTGTCGCTTTATTTTAGGCCCCTCGAGACTTCTTTGGCAGAATTATAAATCGGCCTGTGAATCAACAGATAAATAGTAAGTTCAGAATTATTTAACTCATTATAGTTACTGTAGAAAGATGACTATGTACAATACAGTAGTAGCTTTATTTCCAATCTTGAGAATTGTAACAAAGGTTTCAGCATTCTATTAATGGAAAAAGAGTGTTTAAAATAAAAAAATGTCATGCATAGCTCCTGATTTACAACAGAGAGCTATGGTCTATTTTCGGCCAAAAGCCAAGTCAGATTAAATGCATACATCATGATTTTTAATTCTTAGTAACAAAAGTTTAAGAGGCTATAAAGGAGTAAAACATATAAATATGTTTTGTTTAGTTATATATTCAGGCTGACAAACCAAACTACAGTATGCCAGGCATTATGAATCTATGTTACTTATGTTTACTGAACATGGATACAGTGGTCCCTCGGTTAACGAACACAATTCGTTCCAGAAGGTCGTTCGTTAACTGAAACCATTGTTTCAATGGGATTTTGGGTAATTGGTTCCAGCTCACCGAAAATTACATAAACTAAAAATAAATGCAGTAAAGTACACTTACTTTGAGGTGTGCATGTAGAAGGCTCCTGGTTGATGATGATGATGATGGGAATTAGAATGGGGGTGGAGGAGAAGGGAGAAGAATGCATTGGGGTGGAAGAGATGTCACCCCATGCTTCGTGTTGCCATTTCACCATAAAATTTTAGTTCACTTGGTGTAATTCAAGAGTATTTTCTTTAAATCAACACTGCACTGCATTATATATTGCCAATATGTAAAATAAACTTCAGAATGACCAATAATTGTACTGTAAAAACGTAAAAATAGTTTATGTTCAAGAGAGTCTCAAGCAAGATGCTTCCTCCACTGAGCAGGGACACACACTGACACCATTTTGGGTGAGTCAAGTGGCTGTTTGGCACGCTAAAAACTAGTTCCCTCTTCTTCAATTATGTCAAATAATTGTTAAAATGACTAAAAAATTTAATATAAGACTTGGAAAATTATTGAATAGTACAACCTTCTTGATATTTACTCAAATGGTAACGAATTTAAGCCCTAAAACCGATTACTGTATTGGCGGACTAATACTACAGCTGGTGAGCAGGCAAATGCAGGCAAAAACGTGTTGGGAAAAATTCGTAAGGAATTCGTTAACCGAGGCGTTCGTTAACCGAGGGATCACTGTATTCCGCATCCAGTTAGTGGATGAGTGTTACCGACTGGGCATCTTGGTTGCTCGAGCCGTGAACAGAGACGGGAAAAATTAAGTTGTTCGCAGTCACATTTCCCGCCTCTGCTGACGGCCATGTACCCTGTAATATTGCAATGTGATTCTGATCTTTTAAAATGTTAGTTTTTGCATAATGTAGTATTACTGATATGTAATTTGTCTTAGTATGCCTTACTGTGGGTAAAAATAAGTATATATTAAATGTGTCCTCCGAAAGCGTGAATTTGCTACCAGAGTTTAACAGTTAATTCATGTATAAGATTTCTGATAAACTTTCTACGTGCTCATGTTTGAAATAATGAATGTATGTATCCTTATATAATTTAGCTAAATATCTTTCTCGTCAGAAACGGTCATCCCAACGATTATGAATAAATTCATTTAGAAATACATCATTACTTCAGGATGAAATCAGATAGATTTGCAACAGCCAATCAGCTGTATATCTTGAGGAGGGGGCGGGGCATCTCTTCTCAGCGGGGAGAAATGCACTATAATAACTATGTCAATACTGTAGTTGCTTCCCTTGATTTTTTCTATAAATTATATTCATGTGTGGTTTATCTGTCACACGTAAAAAATGTGATCAGGTATTTTTCACCAGCATAGGCAGTTTCCCCATGTTTGGCAACACTGTTTAAATTTGTGATTACATAGTCACTTTTCAGACTTGGCATTGATATCTACTGTATGTACTTTAAGATGGGATATCGATGTATTAATGAGGTAAAGTACAGTATGACAATATTATTCCCAATATATTAATGGAAATCACAAATATACCACTGTGGCAACCTGTGCAAACTGTTAGTGTAATCATGTAAAATATTACAAATATATTTCTAATAAAAAAATACAGAACTTGAGTGATTTGGCTGGTTCTTGAGTGAACCTACTGTATGATACATGTTGTGTGGGTCCTTATTCATGCGTTTTGCCTTTATATTTGAACATGTAATAGATTAAGCAAAACATAAATCAGTTTAATGTACAGTAACGTTATTCATCTGTGTGAGTACCAGAACTGTACTGTATTGTATAGTTTGTATTTGAATTGTATATAATATTTTACACGATTACACTAGCGGTTTGCACAGGTTGCCACGGTGGTATATTTGTAATTTCCATTAATATATCTGTAATAATAAATATTGTCATACTTCATTTATACATCTATATCCTAGTTGAAACTACAGACCAAAATCATAATCCAACAACTCGCCAATATTAATAATATTTGATTCCCATATTTAAATAATTTTGTAAGAGTGTATTTTCATTTGGTCCATTTCATAAATATATTTCATCTTTACACACTGTAGGTGTGAGATTCATGCATGAATCCCCAAAAGCCAAGCTGAATAATTTGCCGTAACTGGTAACTGTCATAAACCACCAAGGCTAGCCGACGACTTATAGAATAATGGAGGAAAAGTAGACCTTGTTTATAGTATACATAGGCTACTAGATTAAGCTATAAATCTTCACTGCAAATGACATATCAGCAAAAATTTTAATACAATCCCCCAAATCTAATTCCTGTAGGTGACTGTATAAAATCTACCAGTTGATAGGGATTTTAGTAATGCAAACACTGAAATTATAATCCTTATCTCCCATTTTACTCCTCTCTTCCCTTACTCTACAGTAATTTCCCCCTCCACTAATCACCCTCTATACCCCTCGCTCATTTCTGATAAGTAATATTATTTCCCATTCCAGATCTAAATAATGAAATCGTCAAGAGTGATATATGGTTCCGTTTCAAGGAAGGTTATAGTAATGCAGTCAGAAAGCCTATCAAGATGAAGAATTTGGTCTGAACATATCACATACCGAAGATTACCAACATTTAATTCTTATGATATATTTTCTGTAGTCTATTGTTATTAATTTTCTGTATACTATTATTGAAAACCTTCCTTTATCCCTAACCCTTGAAACTCCTCCTTTTTTTACCTTACATTATTTCCACCCCCTTTATCCATAATTTTACTCCCTCCCCTTCAAACTCCCCTTTTTATGCAAAGCTCCCCATTTCACCCCTACCCATGAAAAAAAAAAAAAATGTGTGTGTGTGTGTTACGACCTGCCTCGGTCGTACCAAAATTTTATCAAATTACGTATTTTCGAGTCAACGTCAGTGATTGCACTGTGTACTGACAAAATTTTCGTTTGTAATTCACTTTAAAATGGCTGGCAAGCTTAAAAGTGAGAGTTTTGTGGTGCTGAAAAGAAAAAGAGACCCATTTTAGATTTTCTATGTATTATTTAAGCATTTTCGACTTACAACCTGGATTTGGGTCCCTAACCCCGTCATAAGTCGAGGAGGAGCTGTATATGGTCATAGAGGTATACCTACCATATAAGTCGACTCCCCAACTCCAGCAGCTGTCAAGTGTTGTGAAGGACCAAGTCAACCATCAAAACACATACATAAACAGGTGAACAGTCAAACAAGCCACTCTATACATGACATCACATACAACATCATGAGTGACTGACTCAACAATCACAAAAACACTGAACTCAGTTGATTTCCTGCTCATTCCACCACAGCCCACACACAGCCATCAATAACAAAAGGTGTTTAAATAAAACTACAGTACTGAGAAAAACTTTATTTCATCCATAATAGAAATAGAGGAATTATATTAAAGGTAAATTTGAAGGTTGTAATACAAAATACTCTCACTCACGGTCAAGATTTTAGAGGTCATCATATAATACCCATAGTATAAGTCCTCCCCCTAACTTTGGACACTAAAAATTTGGCTTCAAAGGTCGACTTATATGCCGTTATATACGTCTCTCTCTCTCTCGCTCTCATTATATTTACACATCACCTCAAACCCTAGTTTTAATTCTGTGGGAGATGTTGACTGTAAGGGAGTAGGCTTAGTCAGTCAGCTGAAGACTTGCGTTATGAGGTCAACAAAATTTTTTTTTTTTTTTTTTTTTTAATAACTGATAAGCCCATAGAGCAAGGATGGCCAGCTTACAGGCAGGGTGGCCAACCCATCAGTGACTGCTGGTGTTTAGTCGGCAATATTTTCAGGTCACAGTGCGTCAGATCTTAATTTCACACTATTGTCTTAAGAGTGCTAATAGAAAACTTAGAGTGTGATGTGTGTAGCAGCTAGCCCACCCCTAGTTTTGAAGTGGATTAACCCAGGAGGGAAGCCTTTAAAGTGTAGTTTAATTGTTAACTCTTTCACTATAACTATTCATTTCCTGCAAATATGCACATATTCTTTGTTATATATTAATAAATGCCCAAAACCTCAAATTTTAACCCAAACCTTCACACCACCAGTTCTACATCCAACTCTCTAAACTCCCCTATTTACTCCAAACTCCCACCCATCAAACTTTTTTTTAAATGCCAAAATTTTACATCCACCCTTCAAACTTAACCCTTGCTTCAAAACAACCTTTTACCGAGTATCAGTACACCCACTTACCCTCCTCTCAAAATACCCTTTATCCTTGTTATATCACACTTTTACTCTCGTCTCACAACTCCCATTTACCCTTGCCTTGTTTGTCTAATATAACCAGTTTATGTAGTTTCATCATTTTGTTGGCATTTGTCAATGTACAAAGAATATAGATCATTGATAACTTTAGATCATATTTCACAAGATATTCAAAGTACAGTGATATCTCCATTAGCTGGAACAATTGGTGCAGAGCACTTCCGGAATGAGACATTTCCAGGTAACGATACAACGACTCAAAGCTGGGGTGGGGAAAAAAAATCCCCGGAATTTTCTGGGTAACATAAAAATTTTCTCGGAAGTTCCAGAAATTGAGCATTACAGTACATCATCTCTTGAATCCAGAAAAATATCCCCATCCCTAGAATTTTCTGAGTACCGGAAAAATTTTCTTGAAATTTTTGGGAAAATGTGCCAGAGTTTCATCTCTCAAACTCGGAGGGGGGGGGGGGAATCCTCCATCCTCGGAATTTTCCAAGTACAGTGATTTCTGCTATAACGCTGCGGTTTTGATAACGCTAATTTGCTCTAACGCGATTTATGAATTAGAACGATATTTGTATAACGCGAACGCTTGTTTGCTATAACGCGATTTTTGCTTACTATTTCTCCAATTTTGTGGTACAGTGGGGTATGCTATAACGAATCTAATTGGTTCTAGAACCTTGTTCATAGCATTCGTTCGTTATAGGATTAATCCGTTCCAGGCCCCCAAATACAACCACTTAACACTGAAAAATATAATATAAAATTGTAAAAATTGTAAAAAAGTGCATAAAGATGCATCTAAACCCCTGAAATAAAGAATATCATTAATATTTGTAATAAAAAAACAATAAATTAGAAAAAAAAAAAAATTAAATAATGTTCGTTGTAGGAGTTTCGTTCGTTATAGCATTCTCAATTTTATAGGTAAAACCGTTCGTTATAGGAATATTCGTAGTAGAATCCGTTCGTTATAGCATACCCCACTGTATTAACTGTGAATATAGTAAAGAAGAATATCAACAAGAAGCGTTCTGGTGATAGAATTCCCGGTGATGATCGTAAAAGAAAGGATATAACACTTGAAGAGAAGCTCGATTTTATCAACCTCAAAATCACCCTTCTCCCCCATCAAGTAAAGTGTTACATTTACTGTATGATTTCATTATTAGATATGAATGTAACATTTATTTAGACTGTGCTATCCTTTGTGTTAGGCTAATTACTAAATTTTTTCGATTTCGAGTAATCTGCACCTAACCCTATTTTCTCCATAAGCCCTGTTATTTCTATTACGCGATTTTCTATAACACGATATTTTACAAGAACACAATTATCGCGTTATAGCAGAACTACCTGTACTGGTAAAATTTTCCCGAAAATGTGCCCCTCGAAAATTGGCTCCAAAGCCAAAATCTTCCTGAAAATTCTGGCTTTGGGAACGATTTTCTGAGAAATTTATAAGTCGGGCTATTGCAGAGTTCCAGTTAAGAGGGATTCCAGCTAACGGAGATATTATTATGTAAGATATTCATCATTGCTCACTAGCAGCTGTTCAATACCATTATATATTTGCTAGTTTATTTTGCACATACAATATTTTTCGGATATTGTATCTTGTAATGATTGTCTAATATAAGCAGTTAAATTTTTTGGCATTTGGGAATCTACTAAGAATACAAATTTGATAATTTTAGATCACATTTGACAAGATATTCAGAGAATTAGATATGGACCATTGCTCACTAGCAGTTGTCCAATACCATTGTGTATTTTGTTTATTTTTCATCCTTTTGTTAAGAACTAAGCTTAGTTATTTGACAACTTTAGATCATATTTGACAAGATGTATTCAGAATGGGATGCATCATTGCTTACTAGCAGTTGTCCAATATTGTATAGTAATGCCGAGGCATAATTTGGTATTAAATTGTATGTAAAAAAAATATTTTGATTTTCTGTCCCAAGCTACAGTTATTTTGGGGAAATTTTGTTGTATATGTTGATGTATTACTCATGCAAGATTATTCTAAAATAGATGCATCATTTTTTTTTATTCACTTATTGTAAGTCTCGATCAGAGAAAAACGTTCTAGAACCTCCCAGGCATCTCTGGGTGGGACTAGGGCGTCAGATGAGGTATATTATAATAAGCACCAGCAAGTAGGCTGGGGGTCTACCGTTTCTGCTCAGTGTAAAGTACAACCAGCCTAGTAGGACAACTGTAGATAATTGTGATCAATATAAAGTGAAAAGGCTAAGGTATCATACTCTGGTAGTGTGCCGTTGTATTCTATACTGTACTGTATAATACTCGTATCCTTGCTCCTAGCAACTATGTTGTATTCTTTACTGCATAATAGATTCCTATCTGGGCTCCCAGTGGCCCTGTTGTATCCTGTACTGTAATACTCACATGGCTCCCAGTAGCCCTCTTGGATTCTGCACTGTATGGTACTCCCACATCTAGGCTTCCTGTTGCTTTATTGTATTATGTAACTTATCTGGGTTTTCGGCGGCCCTGTTCAATACTCGCATCTGGGCTTCCAGTGACCGTTGTATTCTGTACAATTCTCAAACCTGGCCTCACAAATCCAAAATTGTGCCAACCTCATGTATTCTCCAAGTGGGTCTTCCACTACAATTTGTGGCACCCAAACACAGACTCGAGGACTCTTATTTATACCTTGAAATTAAAGATGTCGGTATATTTTGATGGTTAAAGTGAAGGAAACAGTCTGTAGAAAACTCTGAGTATGGGACGAGAAAGTACATGCCATTCAAAGACAAGAACAGAAGCAGAACTATAGCTGGAGTTTAAGAGGCTGTATCAAGGAGCGCATCTCCACCAGTACCAATTCCGACATCTGGGTTTCTAGGTTTTGAAAAACTACAGGAACATATGGATGTTTACTTGTGCAGGTTTGACCAAGTGGTTAAGGAAGCCAACTGGTGTAACGATACCCGGCCCATTATCCTCAATCGCTGGCAAAGCATTTTAATGTATTAATTGCTTAAGTGGCAGATGACCAATTATGATTTGTTAATGCAAGCTTTGCTCAAGGATTTAGATTTTATTTGTGAAGGGTTAAAACAGACTCAGGTGAGAAGATCCCAATGGATGGAAAGCTGTACAGTTCTCTGATCACTTATAAGGCTACCGAGTGTGTTAAGCTAGATGGTTGGAAGGCTTCTTTAAATGATTAAGGATATTCTAACTAGGAAAGAAACTCTTTAGTTGCCCTCGCATGTTCCTTAGAGAACAGTTGTCGTTTCAAGTTAGAGGACGCAAGTGACTTTAAATTACCTTGCCTGGTACGTGTACTTTGTATTCAAGTGGCTTTAAGGGGAAAGGACAAGACTAGACCATTAAAATGGCTAAACTATCCAAAAACCGCATGGTTACACTGAAGCCATGGTTTGCCAAGGTAACAAATTAACCCAGTAGACAAGGATTTAGAAATAAGGCATGTTATTTATAGTTTTCTTCTAAATAAACATTTTTAAGATTAACTTTTATACAAAATTTAGTTGCACTTTCTCCAAATCACCCCCCCCCCCCCACTCCAGCTGGGTACGTCCTTGGTTGACCACACGACAGATGGACAAGTTAATGATCCCCAGCTTTGACGGAGAGCTAAACTTCTTCCAACCATTTAAACAGGACCAGTAGTTGCCTCGTGTAGGGTTCTGGAATAAAACAGATACGAGGTTAAATACAGTTATCTGCTCAATATCAATTGCACAGTTTGTGTGGCTACCATGATTGGCGACAGTAACCAACCTAACCTAACTGTAAACATTTCACAAACCTACATTTTTTTTCTTTGTTAGATAAGCATCTATTGTACTCTTCAACTTACAAAAACAACAATGACTCTAGCAACGTGTTCAGTTAACGCCAAAAATTAATAAATAAATTTGTCTATGTCATAAGAGGAGCAGAAGTAGTGCTCACCTTGGTCTGGTGGTAGAGGAAGCCTTGGTATCATCCATCATGTCTTGGGCCAGGAACCAACCTGCCTGAAACAACAGTCATGAATAAGACCACAGTTCTGCTTTATTTATACTAATTTATGCAACTTTATGGATATTTAAAACAAAATTCTACAAAAAATGACAAGATATTTTAGAAATGATTTAGTCTTAAATAAAATTATAACAAAAATAATTCCTCTACAACACTAATTATAAACCATATAAAACGTGAAATAAACTTACGTGAAGTGATAACAGCAACTAAAATATAATGAGATGTACATCCTTGGGTCAAGTAGGTCCACTCTATCTGTAGTTATGATCAGAACTAACCTTCTGCCACAGCCTTCAGAGTATTTAAGGACGACCAGGGAGAGGGGGGGTGGGGGGAGCTTTGGATTTTGGCGGGAATGTCGTAACTAGGCTAACCACTGTATCACAAGTGTTTAAGAGATTTCATTGTTTTGTTTTTGCTATAAAACTTGACTATGTCTGGGCTATCGCCTTGCTATTGCTAATTTTACTGTTTTTCTATGTATCACTTTTTTAACTTTTCACTATAGAGATTGTGGGGTATGAGATGTTTGGTGTTCACTCAGGATGGAATGGAGAAAGGAAACTCACAATGTGCTCTCTATATACATGTTGTATTGGATGTACAATGCAGCTTGGTGCTGGGAAGGCAGCATGGTTACAAGCGTGATGTAGAGAGAGCTGGTTGGTGAGGACGCTCAGAGAAGGACAGCTTGTGGGTCGCCATGCTCGCCAGCGGGAGAGAGGACCGCCAGGCAGGCGGAGGAGCGAGGGCCGCCAGGCAGCGGCAGAGGAGGTGTTGCTGGCTGCGGCTGTAGGTAGAGAAAGAGAGGGAGATCACCACGAGGTCAGGTCTTAAATAGCGGGGGTAGGCGTGGCTTAGCAGTTGACCCCCGCTCCGTGGTGTAGACTATGGCGGCGCTGGTTGACCTAGACCACGAGGCATACACTTGGGAATTTGTGGGGTCGGCTAGGCAGCGACAAACAGCGTTTGTAGGGGAGAATTCCACTACAGTACTCCCCCTTCCCTCCAGGCTGTGTAGGAGACTTGTTGTCTGCAGAGTTGCATAGCACATGTGAGGCAGAACGGGCGGTGCGTGCCTCATGTGAGACAACGGCGATGGCGTGGATGAGCCGGTCGCTGGGGACAACTGTCTAGATACACAATATCTGTGGGAGTAGAGAGGGAGAATAAGGGTGTGTGGAGGCGATGAATGTTGTGCTTCCCTCACGGCAGGTACAGAGTCGACAGATGCGCCTGCTGGGGTGTGTGGACCTGGGTCAGGAGCAGGGGCTGTGTCAGCAGCAGCGGATGAGGGCTCGTGACAGCAGCTGGGTCCACGACAGCAGCAGGGTGCAGGACATTAGCAGGGAGTACCTGAGGGAGAAAAGAGGGGTGTGTGGGTCCGCACTCAGGAACAGAGGCCGCATCAGGGGCGGCAGGGGTTACTGCTGGGCCGGGGTCGGCGTCTGAGGCAGGACGGGTGTGCTGGGGTCAGTAGGACGTGGTGCTTGGGGCAGGAAGAGGAGCTGGTGTCTGCTTAGAGTAGCAGAGCTGCTCTAGGGTGTCTAACCTGCGGTGTAGAGCCGATGAGAGCTGCTTCTGGGTGGATAAGCCAGTCTTCCATGTTGCTTGAAGACTGGGAGCGTGATCAGTTTCTCCTCCATCCTGTGTGAGTGCGAATCTCCGGGAGTCACCATTGTGGGGTATGAGATGTTTGGTTCACACTCAGGATGGAATGGAGAAAGGAAACTCACAATGTGCTCTCTATATACATGTTGTATTGGATGTACAATGCAGCTTGGTGCTGGGAAGGCAGCATGGTTACAAGCGTGATGTAGAGAGAGCTGGTTGGTGAGGACGCTCAGAGAAGGACAGCTTGTGGGTCGCCATGCTCGCCAGCGGGAGAGAGGACCGCCAGGCAGCGGCAGAGGAGGGGTTGCTGGCTGCGGCTGTAGGTAGAGAAAGAGAGGGAGATCACCACGAGGTCAGGTCTTAAATAGCGGGGGTAGGCGTGGCTTAGCAGTTGACCCCCGCTCCGTGGTGTAGGCTATGGCGGTGCTGGTTGACCTAGACCACGAGGCATACACTTGGGAATTTGTGGGGTCGGCTAGGCAGCGACAAACAGCGTTTGTAGGGGAGAATTCCACTACAAGATGCATAAATGTGTTTTTTACCGGGGGTCAAACGGGAGTAACAACCATGAGCGGCTTTACAGAGAGTCGGGCGGTGGTGTCTATTTCAGGCCGCCGGTAGAAAGCCGTAAAATTCCGTCATACTATATTTATCAATACTTCAATAGCCGGATCACAATTGACTTTTATTTGAAAGATTATGAAGAAAAAATAATTATGTAAGTTGGAAGCTTCTCTACGTTTATTAATTATTTCACACAAATGGACATCTGAATCTGTAGGTAATGTTCACTCAATAAGGTCATTTAAATAAACGTATTCAATAAATGTCTGGCTGGGTTCCGTTTATGAATTCCTAAATGCACTATAGAATTCATTGGCCTCTTTAACAGTGTAAGCAACGGCCTTTATCCTTTCAAGAAAGCTATAGATTATTATCGACGGCTTTATTTGACAACATCATGACAAGTATTGGTAAGAGAAAAGAAACAATAAAATCATTTCAACTTAACACACTCACAATCTAAATATAAGCTTCACGCCCTTTAAGTAAACCAGGCAGTAATTAAGTGCTCTAGGTACCACCAACATATAGGCTTTGCTAACGTACAGTATTGGTAATGGAGATAGTGAGAATACTTCAAAGTTTGCAGTTATGTAATAGATCTAAAATTGTCTTTAGTTCCCCCAAGTCCTATAATTTTCTTTAGTGCCCAAGAACGAAGTTACATTTTCTTGTTAAATTCCCGAATTCCCTACTTTCTTCAGTTATTTTACACCAAAATTATTATTTTTTTCACAGACTCTATTACATGGTAATATAGTTTTATTTAGATGGTAATAAATGATTATTCAAATGGCAGTTTTATTTTTTCAACGTAAAAAAGTAAAATGATAATAAAAATTTATATATGGAGGTGAACGCCATCTAGGAGTTAACAGCGCTACTAAACCTTCATCACGGGGTACAGGGGAGAGTTTCTTGTCTGGTGATTCTGGGATCCGTCACCAGCAGAGGCACCCACTAGACAGAGAACCAAGATGGAGGAAGGTTAAAGTGTACGACTACCCGACAGCCCGAAAAATAACCGCCTGAGGCATTGGTAAGACATATATTGATAATATTATATCATATAAATAACTTAATAATAGTGAGTAGTTGATGGTATATTATTAGGGTGGAACTTAGTGTAATTAATGGTTAATTTAGTCTATTATGTTGGGTTGTCTGGCGGATGTGGTGGTAAATTTTCACTTTGTGGCTACTATACGAAATCATAGTTGACCTTCATTTCTGGCGCAAGTCAATAGTTTGAGATAAAGCCCATCCCTTTGTTATCTCAGAATTTAGAGATTTGCTATAAAGTTTAAGGTGAAAATGTTCAAAACATGAAAAGCCATCGGAAAAAATGCCGAAGCTAACCTAACCTTGTCTAACCTAACGTAATTTAACGCCATAAACGAACAAACACAATAAAACGTGAAATTTGTGGCTTAAATATTATTTGCGCCAGAAATCCCATTGAAGAAGTGTCTTAGAATTGTCAAAACTATTGATTGTAATTATAAAATAATCGATGTTAGTTTAGTGGCAACAATTGAAATACCCAAAATAGGTTTTCCTGGTGTATTTTGTGTTTCAGACGATTCTGACCTTCATTTCCGTCATAAATGAGCCGTTATGGAGAGTTACCGAGAGGAGTTGTTTGATTCTGTTCATATTTTGTACAGGTGTTCTTATTGTAGTATGTATTGTGAGGGTCGAAGGTAAGGCTGTATAATCTGACCTATTATAACCAACGAAAGAGACCTACCTAACCTTACCTAACTTCCTACCCAGGGGATGGACCTGCCATATTAAACAAAGTATTTATTTTGATATTTAGTTCCAACGAAAGTAACTCTGTCGAAGTGACGTGTCGTAATTTTACGTTGCCTTTTTTGTGGATGGGAGAGGACACTCGGACTCGGAGGACGGGTTATAAAGAAACAGGACGCGGTGAATCGGCATATGTTCGGGGAGGGGTATTTACGGTAAATAAGTAATTATTCGCATACACACAAAGCACGGAGACGTCATTTTAGTGTAGTGTGATCAGTTTTCCCGTGTTTTCCCCTCAATTTCCCTCAACCCTCATGCCCTGCCCACTACAGGTGATTAATGATCATAGATAGAGAGAAAAAAAATAAAAAGTACTTATAATTACAATGAAAAGTTGATGCCTGTTTTGAAATACAGTACTGTACTATAATATATGTGGAAAATATGAATGAAATAGAACAATTTTGACCTAACTTTTTCCTAACCCAGAAAATTTTAAAATAACATAAAAAAGCTTAGGTATTATTTTACTTTGGGGCATAGAGCCCCCAAAAGTTATAAACTACCGAAACATTTAGATCTCGCAATATGGCGGAAATGGATAGTAGCGACACAATCCAAAGCTTATGTTATTTAACTAATGATAAAAGACAAAGTTATCTCATTATTGTGTTATTTTTTTTGTGTTTTGAATGTTTCGATGTTTCGCCAGCGGGTAATATTGTTTGCGTAGGCGTAAATCTCCCAATAGATTTAAACTGTCCTCTGATTGGTCACAGCAGATTATGTGAAATTCAAGTGAAAGAGATTTAAATCGTAAATCCCCGGTAGCACGATACGAATCCGTCGGTATCGGTGTAGCTTCATCCCGTGTTGGTCATGTCCAGGAAATGTAAATACTATTGGTTATGTACGAAACCAGGTACCGTATACCGAATCAGTTTTTGCGTGTACATTACAAAAGGTTAGGTAGGGTTTTAAAATTTGTTTCAACTCTGGTCAAAGTTTAACTTACTTTGGAAGATTCATTGTTGTTGGTAGTGTTGAAGGAAATAAAGGTCATATCTATTTATTAGACAAAAATACGAAAGAAAAGAAAACGGCAAAATTATCGTTTTGGTCACGTACCTATTTTTCCGAAGGTCAGAATTGTTTAAAACACAATATTGTATATTGAAACAACATAATTTCAATCTAACCTAACCTCACTGCATGACCAAAATGATGATAATGCTGATGAACCTAATTTCTCCATGTGGTATAAAACAAATAAGTACCTTTTATTTTACTGTATAGGAAGTTGTTATTTGACCCAGATTCCAGGCCAAATAACCATAGATTATTTGACCGGGACCTGCAGGGATTGTACAGTGTATGATTTTAATGGGAGTCTAGTCAGGATGATTGTGGGCATTAAACTAGTCATTGCATTACTGTTTAATTGTAGAATTTTCTGTGGCCAAATGTGTTTATTTTGATTTTAGATCCCGGTCAAATAACCAGTGGTTATTTTGCTGGATACTGATCAAATAAGCCTTGCCTATAATATAGTATTTTTACAGTGTTGTGTATTTTATAGCTATTGGTCACATTTCCAGGAAGAAGCTTCAAGGACTCACAACGCATGTCACTATGGCAAGTTCAAACTCGACTATACAGACTGTCCAAGCTCGTATATGACGGCGTCGGTGGCAACCGGTGAAACACCGCCGACCCGTAGGAGGCGAGACTTACTTTCTGTTAGTTCACATCGTGTTGTTGTCATTAGGTGTACAAGCTGAGTCTATTAATTGTTTATGTGCACTTGTACAGTATTAACATAAAGTGTGCATTTATGTAAATGTTTGTGTGTGTCTAAAGTCGCGTCCCATCTTGTCGGTGGTATGCGACATCTCAAAAAAGTCACGGATTCACGTTTTACATGCCATAAAACATTTTGAATGTGGATTTATTTTGTTTTTCTTTAAAGTATAATAATAACTTTTAGCTTAGTTTTTAAAGCATAACTTCATTGTTTATTAATTATAATACTTTACAAATACTGTACTGTACTACTTTTTATACCTTCATCTACTGTACAGTACTGTGTATGTCACTTCAGTTAATTAAACTTTAATTTAAGTAGTTTTGAAGAAGACAACTTTGTACATTTAATTTTACATAGTAACTGCTGTACTTTATCCTAAGTAATATTTTCAGGCGCTGTCTCCATCACTGCCTAAAGTGGACCCGAACCCTTGGACCCGACGGGAACCGGACACGGAGTTAACCGAAGCCCGACGTTAACCGGACCTGAAGTACAGTACTGTGTGTTATTTTATTTTATATTGTTCTGGTACTTTGAATATTAGGAAGGCTGTACAGTTCTGTTCCTGAAAAACCTTTAGTAAATCAGATAAATTTTCCCATGTACTTCCATTACAAAAGCCAAGATACTTTTCTAAAACGAAATAACTTTCCCAGAACGTCTTAAAATGTTGTACACGACGATTACGGTACCGTAAGGCAGTACGGGAGCTCCCGTACCGACGAGGCTCATTTGCGAATGCAACGTTACTCGCGTTGATAAACTAGATACGGTACTGTACATCTATAATATACCCCAGCATATTACAGTATAACTTACCAGCCTTTAACAGTATATTCATGTGCAGGTTTATTCGTATCTCTGAAAGTTCAAAAGTAGAGTAGCTCCTGTACGTGATAACTATATTATTGGAAGCGATATACACGTACCGTAATAATAGTTTTATACCCGTACTTACAAGACGTCGATCAAGAGTGTAATTTAACAGTCGGCAATAGAGAGTAAAACTCTTTAATAAATATTAATGTTGATTTTCACTCTCTAATTGGAGATACGTCGTTTACGAAAAACCCCACTCTCTACCGCCGACGAGGTGTTACGTCGTCGCATAAAGTAATCGACGGCGATTAATGGGTATTCATATTAGCCGAGGGGGATTTATTACGGTTTGTGTGAAATGTCGGTAACCGGGACTATATATACCGTATTGTGTTCATTATGGCAATATCGGATAGCCCCGCGTCCTTTTTCTCATCTCGGCTCGTAGTCGGCCATCCCGTCATCCCGGCCGGATCCGGCGTAAGGAGTCCCGACGGTCATTTGCTCTGGATCAAGTCTTCGCATTTATTTTTCATCGACTTACCGTATCTTACGGCATATAAGACGCACGGCCACATCCGCACATCAGCAGGGAGTATATAGGAAAAAAGTTGTGTGTGTATTTTCCTCCTGTGGCCATAGTTTTCTTAAAATAATATCAACAGTATCAGTAAATGTGTGGAATAAATAAAAATAATTGCAATAAATATTAATTAGTTATAACAAAAATACTAGTTTTTGAATTTGGTTGTTGGATGAAATTTGTCAATGGCGTTGCTTCACTAGACACGGGAGGTGGCGCAGAACAGCGGAGATCCCTCGCTCCTCTTTACACGCGTAGAAAGTTTATTCCCCGTTATGTATTTTATTATGATAATTATTTATCTTATTTCTTTTGTACATTCTCAATGTAACATTGAAGCAAACTGCCAATTCCTTGTACGTACATCCTTTCCCAGCATTTATAAACCATACCACCTACCTTGCTTATGATATTTAACAATTGTGCTACTTAAAAAAAAATTGTACGGTAGGGTCAGGATATATTGCGAGCTAGGGTCCAACTGTGTTTGCTATATACTAAATCACGATATAAATTACATGCAAGCAATGGGGTAAATAGGGTTAAGTTCTGGAGGCCGAAAAAAGTGTCTAAACTCGACTTAACCAGTTCATTTTCTTACTAACTAAGCACCAATGAACACTAGACTCGGGAACAACAGGCTGATGCACCATCTCGGGAACACAAGACTCGGCAGCAGACGCCACACTGCCATCCTCACTTGACAATCCCACACCTACATAAACGACCCAAAAAATATTAGTTTGAGTATTAAATCTTTTGCATTAAGCTTTCCATTATCTTCACATCACTAGCAACCCATTTACACTTGCTTTAGAAATTGGAATCTGCAGCAGACTCGGCAGCTGACGCGTCATCCCGACGACAAGAATTGAATTGAAACAGTTTATTTAGCCAGAAAAACAAAGGTACAGAGTGGATAATAATAACAATATTAACATGGCTGAGCCAGTTGAAAACCTGAGCTCACTTTGAGGCACCTGATATATACTATACAGTGGCCCCTCGGTTAACGAACTCAATCCGTTCCAGAAGGTCGTTCGTTAACCGAAACCATTGTTTCAATGGGTTTTTGGGTAATTGGTTCCAGCTCACCGAAAATTTCCTAACTTCAACAAAAATGGCGGAAAAATTTACTTACTTTGAGGTGTGTATGTAGAAGGCTCCTGGATGATGGTGATGATGTGCATTTGAAGTGGGAGGTGCAGGAGGAGAAGGGAGAAGAGAAGGAAGTGGAGGTGGAGGAGAAGCATTTTACTGCTTCTTGGAAGGTGAGTCACCTTCCATGAAAATGTCAGGAACCTCTGGACTGACAGATTCTCCATGAACATCCTCTCTCCTTCTTGAAGTGGAAGGCTGAGGGCTAGCATCTTGTTCCCTCTGCCTTTTACTGAAGAAAGTGTCAATTGTGGTCTGTGGGGCATCTGTCCTCCTCACCATTAACTTATGTTTAAAGAAGGAGACCACTGAGTCCTCAACATGATACAAAGTTAGTTCAGTTTTTTCCACTTCTGGGTGCTTTGAAGCCAGTTCCCTGAACTTCTCCCAGTGGTAAATCACATCTTTCAACTGTTTAGCTGACATATGGTCATCACTTTCAATTTCCTCCTCACCACTGTCAGCCTCTACCCGTAACATCTCATCCAGTTCCTTCAAGTCATTAGGAGTAAGTTCCTCCTCATGAGACATCACAAGCTCTTCCACATCCTTCTCCTCCACTTCAAGACCCAATGACTGACCAATGGACACAATCTCCTGGTCCAACTCTGTGTCATCCTCAAATCCCTCAAAATCATGGACTACTGATGGCCACAGTGCTTTCCATGAAGAATTGAGGGTTCTATTGGAGACTTCTTGCCATGATGACACAATCAATTTTACAGCCTCCAGGATGTTGAATTGTGTCTTCCAGAACTGTTTCAGTGTTAGTTCAGGATCAATGGAAGTTGCCTGATGACACCTCCTAAACATTTTCTTCATGTACAACTTCTTGAAGTTGCTGATCACATTCTGGTCCATTGGCTGTATGAGTGATGTAGTGTTTGGAGGCAAAAACAACACTTTCACAAAGTCAAATTGATACTCCAAATTTCTGGCAAGGTCAGGGTCATGACCAGGAGCATTATCCATGAGGAGAAGAGCCTTTAAAGGAAGTTTATTGGTGGTTAGGTAGCTCTTGACAGAGGGGCAAAACACATCAACAGCCCATTCATTAAAGAACTGTCTTGTCACCCATGCCTTACGGTTGGACTTCCAATAAACTCCAAGCATTGTTCTTACCACTTTCTGTTGCTTGAACACCCTGGGGTTTTCAGAGTGGTAGACAAGCATAGGCTTCAGTCGGAAATCCCCTGAAGCATTGGCACCAAGCAATAGAGTGAGACGGTCTTTCATGTGTTTATGCCCAGGTAAAGAGGCTTCATCCTTGGTGATGAATGTTCTTTTGGGCATCTTTTTCCAGAACAGCCCAGTTTCGTCAACATTGAACACTTGCTGTGGAAGATAATTTTCTTCTTCCATCAGTTTTTTAAATTCAATTAAAAACTTTGCTGCCCCTTATTTATCCGCCCTCCCCCGTGGCCCTCCTAATACGTCGGCATAACTCCTCTTAGCAACCACCTCCATTCTATTAGCTACTTCCTCAGTCTTAGCAAGGATCTCTTTCTCAACTTGCTCCAGTTTGTCAACCAGCAGGGCTCCTGCTTCATCTATTTTCGTCCCCAGAGAACTCGTTCCCTTAAAAGACACGAAACCGAGGCGACGGCAGTCGTAATTTGTACGGAGCTCGGCCGAGGGTAGGTAACGCCGGTGACGTCGAGTATTTCAAATTATTTTATTGTTAGTCACCTATTAATTACCTCTCCAGGATATCTACTGGTCTGGAAAACCCAGGGAATTTTACCAATAAACCTAGAATTTGATATGAATTGAGTTCATGTTCCAAATATTGTTATTTTGACAGGAATGTTAGCATAAATGAATGATGTACCATATAATAGGTAAATAATTAAAGTTTTAAGAACACATTCCAGTAAATAGTCCACTCCAATAACTGAATTGTTTATGTATCTTTCATATTTCATGTTAGCGATCAAATACCAAATACTGTATTACAGATTATACCTACTAATTGTGTAATGAATATTGTCAGAGATGAATTGTTTTTATAATTAAGTTAGTATATTTAAGTGGATTAATCCAGATATTTATCAAGTCACGCAGGGAGTGCGAATTTTTGGATTTTGTCGGATTTCCGGGTCGACCCACGCGAATCGACGAAATACGAGGGAAAAATGTGGAGGGTGGTTAAGGTCTCTGCCTAATAATCATCCTGATCTTAGTTGGTTAAATAAACTAGTCAGCCTGATCGCCAGTGGCAGTTATCATCTTTATATTTCCTAATAGTAAATACTGTACATATTATTGAAGACTTTTAATTTTGTTATTCTGTCTTAATAAATGGGGAATTAATGTACCATACCTGTAATTGTTCAAATTGTATATCTGTGAAACTTTGAAAGATGATGGAATTTTGTTTTGTGTGGCTAGTAGACACCTGATCTCCCTCCACCTTCCACCACCTTCTTCCTCCCTCCCTCCTTCCCTCCACGTACCACCCCTCCCTCTCACATATCACCTCTCCCTCCCTCCCTTCCACCCTTTCCTCTTTCTGTCCTTGTACCTTGGATCTCTGCTTCCCTCTACCTATCACCCCTCCCTCTCTTGCACCTACCACCTCTGTTTCCCTCCCTCCATGTTCCACCTGTCACCCTTCCCTCCCCTCCCTCCACCTTCGATCTCTCCCTCCGTGCAGGTATACAGAGAATGCACATTGATACTTTAGTGAAAGTTGCCAAGGGATAGGCTTCAATTTGCATGGCTAACAGTGTTATACTTTTTAACAGCAGTGTGTTCTTTTCAGTTATGGGTCCGAGTCATGTGATGCAAGTTTGAAACATAATTTTGTGTGTATCAGTGATGAGAGAACCTGGCAAAGGACACCACTTCAGCCTTGGGGGGTATGTTTTAAGACAATATTTTATAAATCTGGTTTGTAATGTGTTTGTGAAGTTTATATGAGCGATTGTTTGATTATATGGAATGTTTATGAGGTGTGTCTTATTTTGTGTCTGTAGGAAGTGAAAGTTTGAAAGGGAGACGAGAGATTAACGATCGTTCGGTCGCAGACGTCGTTTCCGAGCGATATTACTGTGGGGTAATACAGTACATTATTGTAGTTCTATGTTTGTCTTTGATACCCCCAAAATGTTCTACACTACCGAGGGTATACGCAAACACTTGTTATCTTGAAAATAGGTTCTTATTCTCGTATGGGAGATATATACAGATGGACAAAGAAACTCGCTTTCGCACCATAAGGAACGGCGGTCTCCACAACCCGTATCACTGCGCGCTGGCACGTACAGATGCCAGCATTCACAAGCCGAATACATAAAATGTAAATATGATAATTCATATACATAACATGGTGCATAATAAATGGAAATATTACATAGGATTAATACATGTTGTGTAATACTTTAGTATACATAATTAATAGAGCAATATAATAATTCACAGCTTAAGGTACTACTTTGTGTCCATATTATACAGTAGTGGATATGTTTTTTTATGAGCTTGTGTGTGTAGGTATACAAGGAATGAAGAGAGATATTATAGTTGAAGTTTTGAAGGGATTTACTACAATTTGCAAAAGTATTATTTAAAATATTTGGACATTGTTTTTTTTGTTTCAGTTGTGTGATTCATTTGATACATCATTGGAGACAGAATTTACAGCTGGTGTTTAATAGCCTTTTGGAGTTCATCCGGACGAAGACACCCGTCAAGACGGGACGAAGACACCCGCGACCACGGGACGAAGACACCCGGGACCACGGGACGAAGACACCCGTCGAGACGGGACGAAGATACTCGTTAACACGGGACGAAGACGGTTCTCGAGACACGTCCGTGAACTCGTAGAAGATGTGCATCGTTATTGTATTGAGTAGTTTGTAATGTGTTATGCTTGTAGCTTGATTGTTTTAATGATGTTAATTTGTTTAATTGTAATATTTACGAAGGGCGAGTTATAACGAAAGTGCAGTAAGTAAACCCTCACACTCGCGGACAATTACGGGGGAGAGGGCGGCCGGACGCGGTAAACGTGCAGAGGAACCGCGAGACGAACGTGCTTCAATAATAGCGGGAATGCGGTATTGTAGGGATAATAAATTTAAGAATACTACATTGCTAATAATAGGGGGAGTAACCATTTGTTGGTATGTGGGAAATGTCTAAAAATTGTAAATAAAAAAAAATACACTAAAATATTTGACGGGACACAAGACACGTTTGGTCAAAGTAATTCGTTATCGTCTCCAAGAGCCGGAACCCCGGAAATGTTCGATAGCCGGAATATAAATTTTTTGGGAAAGTCCTTGCAAAGGTGGAATGTTCTAAAGACGTTTTGGTTTGGGATAAAATTTTTCTGACGATGAAAACGGAGAGAATTTTGTGCAAATGGCTTGAATATAGATGAAAGCTCCAGTATCTGTGGGGTGGGGGGAGGACCGAGTTAATGCGAGGTTGCGGTTTTTTTGGCCGGGGGGATCGGCGGGCGTCGCGTCCCGAAGTCGTGTGGAATAAAGACAAAAGGTAAAGTATTTTGAGGAAGATTGTGAAAAGTGTAAGTATAAATGAGGAATGTTGAAGAATATATGATATGAAATTTTGAAATATAGAGTGAGAAAGCATAAATTTGTGGGCGATTGGAGAAATGGGGTGGAAGAGAGTGGCGACGTGTAGCAGCGTAGGGAAGCGGCGACGTTTGAATCGGCTTCCGCGTGGCGAGACGAGAAGACCTCGACCGGACGCTCGTTAATTTGTGCGGGAGGTGCGGCGTCGGCGTATTAATTACCGAGTGAAGAAGATTGTATTGTTAATGACAGTAATTTGAGGAATAGTAGTACAGTACGGCACTGTATTAGGGAAAGTAGCTTCATTGACAAGACAAATTGTTTATTTATTTATTTACGGGCGGTCAAGTAGGCGGCACATGTCGAAATTCATTTTGAATGCACGTTTGTGTTTTGTCACCACATTTGAAAATGTCAAGTAACGTTATATAATGGAAGGAGTTTAAGTATAAAAAGTGGTTTCTTGTAGTTTTTTGAAGAATTTTTGAGGTGTCGAGACCCACCAATCTTCTAGGCGACATCTCGTCGAGTCGGTTACACGAGAGCTAATAATTGTGCACACTTTTAAGGGAGTGGAAAATAGCAGTATTTGTTGTAACGTACAGCGTTATCGACGACTGCATCGTATGGAATTGTAGTTTTGTGTGTTTTTGAAAGTTGCTAGCACATAGAAACAATGTTTGGATGTGGGGGTAGTTTGTGTAAGATACGTAGTTTTGACGGGCGAGAATTTGTTTGCATTAAGCGGAAATATCTCTGTTTGGGAAGCAGCAGTGCGGTTAGGCGGAAATGTGCGATCCCCGAAGCGCCGAACGGGTATTGTCGCGGACGTTGGCGTTCGTAAATTATTTGGTAAAATGTGTAGTGAAGTTTATTGTATAGTTTGGTAGTTAGTATGTTCTAGTGTATGTAATGTTGTTTGTAAGAAGTCGGCGTGTATTTTGGTTAACGTGTACACTTATAAATTTGGTAGATCGTGCGGAATGTCGGGAGAATTGCGTTTGGAGGAGAGGCGGTACTCAATTTGAGTTTGGAGGGTCGACCGTAAGCGCGTCGAGAATGCATCTGGGCGTAAAAAAAAAATTAGGATTGTCGTTGAGCTCACGGAGAAATTTGTGTATAATAGAGCAAGAGTGTGAAGAAGTTGAAATGTTGTGATTGTTTGAAGACATTAAGGTATATGATGTATTGAATTATGTCGATAGGAAGTTACAGAGTTTATACGGGACAGGCGCTCCCGTACTCGGGAACGAGTCGCGTTCCCGAGGCTCGTTCGTAGGTAACGACAAGATTGTGGATATTTAGTACAGCAATACCCTTTAATATAGCCTTAAAACATGGCTCTCTCTTCTCTTCTTATGTAATGTTTGTTTTATGTGAAATTTTGTGGCAAATAATTGAGGCTCATCCACATTGAATACCTGTTGTGGCAGGAAACCCCCCTCAGTAATGATTATTGTATCTGAAAGTTTGTAAGTTGAATGTATTTAAGTAGAGGAGCACCTGTACTCGAATGAACGAAATGATATATGTTGATAGTGAAGAGTATAGCATGTGTTGTGAGTATTATTTAATATAATTAGATAATCGATAATACGAAATGTACACAATCGCGCTTAAAATGAGATTACGAGGCTCGGTAGACGTAGAGTAACCGGCAGACGGATTGCAGTCGCGTAGCGGGTAAATGCGTCGTAGTTCTTTTTAAACGACACGAGCGGGAATAAAAGATAACGCCGCGGCGGAAACGGCGTAAAGATGCGTAACCGCTCGTCTCGGAGCACGTGCGATTGTGGAAAATAAAAGGATTGAAGATCGGAGCAATATATAGTCGCGTCGGCGAGGCAAGGAATAACGACGGAGACGACCGGACTATTATGAAGAGAGAGATCTTTTTAATTATGAATTTAGAAAATTGTTAGATTGTAGGTGAGGCAGAGAGTGAAGGAAATGGATGGAGATGGATAGTAGCGAGATGCGAGAACATACGAAGTGTTTGGTTATTACATAGTTGGTTTAAGGGGGGGGGGGTGGGGATAGATTTTGAGTTTTAAACGAGTTCCGTGGCAATTGACGGAAGGAATAAATCGGCAAAAGGGAAGCGGATACGGTCCGAGGAGCGGGGGCGACGTACGGATTAAGAACGTCGCGTAGCGGACAAGATTTACGAGGAATGCGGTTAAACGAAGGATGGGATTGTGCACGAAAAGCAATGCGTAAAGTGCAGGCCGAAGGAATTGGAGGATATAGTGAAATTTGATTAAGGTGTGGTTAGAGTTTAGGAATGAGTGTATTGGCATTAAGGGACCAATAGTATTTGTGATATAGTCATAGGCGCATAAATGAAATTTTGACGACGAAGGGAAAAGGAGACAAACGTAAAGAAGCGGTTTGGACGGTCCAAAATTGAAATGTGTATTTAATGAAATAGTTGGTTTAGATGTAAATGTGGAAATGTTAAAGAAAAAGGGTTTGGGGGTGTAACGAGAATACGGAGTTAAAGGAAAATGTCGATATGTCGGTGATTTGGTTAAGGAATGTTAGTAATTGGGTTCATATATAAGAGTTTAGTTTTGAGGAGGGTATCATTTAAGCGTAGTTTAATTTGGGAGACGACTGCGATTCGGGTAAGGAATTGGGGGGGAGAGGGAGACCGCTAGCACCGCAACACAATGTGACACGACAACATAAAAGGCGATCGGTGGAGAGGATTTGATTGATCGTCAGTAATATTTTGTGCTATTACCAGGTTATGTTTTAAAAAGGAAGATTTTTGTGTAGTATCCTATACTCCATGTAGCGGTGCCCCTATTAGTTGCTGTGTTTGTTGTTGTCCATTGTTTGTGTTTTAATGTTGTATTATATTTGTTTGGTATATTTCTCCTGTTGGCCCATTTTGTGAATGTATTTGTTTTGTTTTTGTTTGAGCTGGTTTTTTGTGTTTGTTTTTGTTATTGTAATTTGTTCTCATGCTCTTTTTATTTAATGACTAGTAATTTTTGTTGTACTGTTTGTTTTGTTGGTTATATGTTCATGATATTGTTTGTTGAAGTTGTAAAATGTAGAGTATAATTGTTAATGTTTTAAGTTTGCATAATGAATAATTTATTTGAGTTAGTTTGTGTGAAAATAGTGTTGTGTAATAATGGATTTGTGTATTGTGTTTGAGTAAATTGGTTGAAAATGTTGTGTAGTATGGAATAATGTAAGTGAATGCAGTATTGTAATGTATTGGAAATATATGGTAATGGTAAAAGTTATTCTAGTTGGTAGTGTGTGTGGAAATGTTAATAACTAGTGACTA